ATTATCATACTTTGGTACTGGCAAAGGAGGTCCCATAATGTAGATGCTTACCTCGATCTCTCATTACTCTGATAGTGCATTGTCTTTGGGCTGTACGCCTTTTGGCGTCCTCTGGTCTAACACCGTTTGAGACGAGGCTCATTAGAAAGCTGTCTCTGGTGTGGACCAATTAGATTCAAGGACAATGCATATATTATCAGAGTATCTTTTTTGTTTGCATTCTGACCACAAGCATTGTGGTTAATGCAGACATAATTCCTTGTGAAAGGTTTCAGTTTGGCGTTTTAACATCTTAACACAGCTGTTTTGTTGCCAAAAAAAGGGGAAAAAACCTATTATCATTCTTTGGTACTGGCAAAGGAGGTCCCATGATTACAATGTTAAATGGGCGTCGAGGGACAGGAACGAACAGAAAAAAAAAACGCCTCCCAAAAAAAGAAGCGAGCGCAAATGTTTGGAATTTGAGTTGAGCGGCTGGGACGAAGCCGGCCCCCACTGAGCCGCCCATTGCTTTATTTGGTATAAAACTCGGGCTTCCTGGCCTCGCTCCATGCGGCTCGGCGCACACGCGCTGACGCTAGATAAACAATCGCGGCAAGTTTTGGCAGCAGGCGTTCTCCGTAATATCATGCGTAAATAACGGGGCGCTTGTGTTTTTTTTCCATTCGGCCCCTCAGTGCGCGTCCAGCCGCCCATTACAGTAGCACGTCTGTTCAGCGTGACGCGCGTGAGCCTGGGCCTTGTAATCGGCCTGGGGTAAGCTGGGCAAATATAGCGAAGTTTGCTCGTCGGCACATAATATTTCCCGAAATGGCGAGGAACTGTTGCCCTGCTGCGCTTCAATAAACCTGTACGATATGAAATCGGCCAGAAACCTGGCAGGGAGCGAATCGGCTCTGGTGCCAATAAATAAAAAAATGGGTTAGAGGTGGAGTGGCACGCTTCACGCCCTGCGGGATCGGTGGAGGAGTTCAGGATTTGTGCGGCCAGGCATTGAATCGTCGGTCACGTGAGAACCTCCTGTGAACCTTCCGTCCTGTTGTTTGGGAATTGCCCGGCGCTCATCGCAATGTTGTTGATGCACATGACCATCATCGCCGCGAGCCCTTTGCTTTTTCCACAAGCCGCTCGCTGTAAGTGTGTGCGGAGAGACCGATCCCACGGGCACTTGCACGTTGCATTGGGAGGACTGGCCTGGGAAGCAGGGGAAGGGTGCGGGTGGCAACCGGAGTGGTTAAACAAAACATAAGAACACAGTGTGTGTGTGTGTGCGCGCCATAAATGGCACAATTGTGGACGGAGAGTGGACTGGGCAGCCTAGCGGAATTTGAGGAAGTGGTGTGAAGTGGCATGTGAGGCAAGACCAACGTGTATCTGCCTCCTGTGTACACGTGGTGCCACTGCCCGTTTTGTCAATCTCGTAACTACAGTGCTGCATTAACCCCCCCACTCCTGCCCATCTTCCTCCCATTGGCAGTGCGATGAATTGTCACGATTCAGGATCGCGATTCAATTGAATAAAAAAAATCAACATGCAATGATGATTCGTAAATATTTAAATAGAGCATTATTCTTTAATGCCACAATAAAGGTATTGAATTGTGCAGATGGTCATTGTTTGCATCTTGTGTGTTGTGATGTAGGTGATTGGTCCAAGTAAACTCTGCGGCCACTATAGGTGCAGCATTTGCCACAATTGCAAAAAAAGTATCGATTTGTGACAGGTGTATGTATGTACGTTGAACTCCTTTCGCACGTTACTTACTCAGCCGTGCTAATCGGAGGTGTATTTCGTTTAACCAGGTGAGAACTCAAGAGACCATAACGAGTCTCATTTGCAAGCATTCCCTCGGTCACCCAAAATGGCAAAGCAAACAAAGTGCAGCAATGAAGTGAATCGATCTGAACAAACACTAAAATATAAACACCTTCACACGGGGAATCATAAACATTGCCATCTTGGCACATCGTTAGATCCCTATTTGCTATAGTTATCATATCTATGACCAAACCACGCCAAGTCGGCCAATATTATCGGATCGCAGAAGCTAAGCAGGCGGCAGCCAGGTTCGCGAGCACTTATATGGGAGACTGCATGGGAAAAGCAGGTTTCCCTGGGCTTGGACTGTGTGCGGGTTTTTGAGCGTTACCCTCTCGCACGCTTTGGACTTTCTCCTGGGTACCCTGCTATCCTCCCACATGCCAATATACTCGTGAATTTAATTGGCTAAAAATTACAATGCGAGACCTTCCCGTGTACGAGTCTTGAGACTCGGCGAGGCTTTCCCAAGTAACATTATTGTCGTATTTACTGTAAGTGTTTTTAAGGAGGGTTTCCTTGAATAACACTGAAGCGGAAGCTGGCGGGCTGTGTATTCAAAACTCAGTTATTTCTGTAAATAAACATGCACTTAGTTTGCATAGCTCTGTAAAAAGGCTCAAGAAACACCATCTGAACTACATGATAACGATGATGATGAACACTACTGGTCGGTTTGCCACCGTTGTCGATGACGAGGGCATCGGGGGAACATCTTCTCCACATATCAGAGGAACAGGAACATTGGCTAACACGTGAATCCAGCTTCCCATCTAGACACCGGACCTCTTGCATATGCCTAAGATTTCCAAATAAGGCAGCCACCTCCCCCATATCTTCTCGCGTCGTCGTGCCGCCAAAACGGCCAAGTGGGAGACCTCGGCTGACCTGGAAGCTACACGGTTGACCCCGTAAGGCCTAGAGCCCTTCGTGAAGCTGCCGAGGCCTGATAACGTGTTTGAACCTTGTTGTGTCGGGGTTGTCTTGACAACTGATGTTACAGTGATTTTAACTGTTGGGTGTTTTTTTGGAAGGATAAGTGCAGAAATTAGAAATGTTCCGTACAGGATTTGGCAACCGGTCAAAACCGATGAATGCCGATTTTGTTTCTGTGGGCTCTATCCTATTTTTTGCGACTTGACTACATATTTGAACTGTAAAATACACAAACATGGCGTTTAGATCGATAAAGTCATAATCGCAAAATATTTTCGTGACTATTTCTTTCTCCGTGTGTGCGCTAAGAGCGTGTGGTGACCTGGCATGCACATACGCTGAAATGTGGGGGGGAGACATTTCCTGGGCCCATAACTGTTTTCACGCTTGACCACTCTATGCCTTGACTCCAACTGAAAAACCCACATTTCCTCTTCACCATGTGTGACCAACCTAGATAAGCTTCTTAGTATTGAGTGACAGCTTGCTGTTTCACAATACACACTGTCTCTGTGTGTATGCGCATAATAAGTAGTGTTTTAATACAATAATTAAATAGACATGTGACAATTCGTGACTTATATACTTTATTTCTTTAAGGGACGCCATGTTGGTTCCATGATTTCTTCCTCATCTGGTATGCAGGAGGTCAGGGGGTTCGATCCGGACCCTTGACGCCTGCTGTATATTTGGAGTTTGCATGCTTTCCCCGTGGTCGTGTTGATTTTTTCTCCGGGTCCTCCGGCTTTTCCCTCCACATTTATAAACATGCATTTATATTATTTAGATAATTTTGCTACTATAGATTTCCATATGATAAGCCACTTTGTTGAGCTATCATTTGTGGCCAGGTCGCTTCTGAAAAACAAATTCATACCTCAGTGGGCTTTGTCTGATAAGATCAAAATAGTTAGTTTTATCTGTATTTTTTAAAATTAATTTGTTTACCTTTGCTACACTTCTCCTATCGTGTTTTACTATTGTTTATTGTTGTAGCTTTCTGACCCGCTCCTACTGGAAGCTCATTGGATTACTCCACTTTAAACAAATAAATATTCTGATACCGAATATTAGCATATAATTTTCACTTGGTTTTCAAGAATGGTAATTCATGGATCCTCACACATGTGATGCATGCATCCTAAAAGTAACAATGGAATTTAATCGCTTATATGCATCGCCACATGCCTAGTGTTGAACCTGCTTTGCTGTATTTGCCCTCTCTGATGAAAGAATGCCTATTGGCCAGAACGTCAATTCCTTCCCTTCCACTCTGAAAAAAAATGCACTTTTGATTGTTCCTTCGTTATCTAGTATCTCCTTGCTGATAGATGTATTTACTCTAATGTAATTTAAGTGAAAGATTTATACTTCCAATATCTGATTGCGTTTTGACCATCCAGTTTTTTTTCTCATTTTTTCCCCCTACTACAGCCAAGGCTGTAGTAGTATTGTATTAAGCGTTATTCTTATTGCACTGCTCATGTCTCAGAAGGTGCTGAGACTCATTAAGAAGCGCTATTTTTACATGATCATCACTGGTGGTGGTGGTGGTGTTTTCATCACGTTTCCACATAGAATTTGGATAAATTGATTCCACCTCAAATAAGGAAATCTATCTAAATTCACTCACTGTACACTGAATGTGTTCTTTATTAAATAAATGATATATTGCCTGGGTTTAAGTGGACTAGTGACCTCGAGGTGCACCTAGCTTGGCACGAGCGCCTTGGTGACATCACTGCCACTTGGCGCCAAGCGATGGTTATTGTTGCTGTGTGTGGGGAGATATTGCAAAGTGGTAAGCACTGCCCTACCAAACCGGCAACCTGAGTTTGTGGTGGGTCATAATTAAACTGGTCCTGCACGCTCCCCTAAGTCGATCTCAGCCTTAAATAAGTACCTAGTGCAGTGCGTCAACGTTTGGTGAGATAAATATGGCTGCACATGGTACCGGCCCTTCCACCTCCTCATGCAACATAGTCGAGAGTATTTGGTTTAGAGTATTTGGCTGGTATCAATTGTCATGTGATAAGCTACTTAGTTGAGCTATCATTTTTGGCCAGGCCGCTTCTGAAAAATAGCTACATAGCACAGTGGGCCTTACCTGGTGAAATAAAAAATAGTTTCGTTTATATCGGCCTAAATAGAAGATCGCGAAAAGAAATTGCCCCAACATTTTCCACGGCTAAACGTGGGGGGGGTGTTTGTGTGTGTGTCTGCATGTGTGTTTGTGCGAGCTCAGATTGAGCGGTGTAGCGAGCACACGCAGCCATCATGGTGGCACTCTCGCTCAAGATCTGTGTGCGCCACTGCAACGTGGTGAAGACGATGCAGTTTGAGCCATCCACGGTCGTGTACGACGCTTGCCGCATTATTCGCGAGCGCGTCCCGGAGGCACAGGATGGCCAGCGTGAGTCTCCACAGCTTGCTCTTCCCACTCACCTGCTCGCTCAACCCGCTCGCTCACCCGCTTGCTCATTCACTGACTGACTCATTCAACCATCGCTTGCTCACTTAAGGCCTCATTCTATTGCTGAATTGTTTGGTCGCTTGTGTAATGGTTCACTGGCTAGCTGGACCCCTTACTCTTTTACCTACTCACCAACTCACTCATCCTCTATTTACCTGTTTGCTCATTAGCACTCTCAATGTCTTCATCTCATTTTCCCCGATTTGTTCACACTTTCGCATTATAACTTGCTGCGTAGGCTCTCGCTTGTCAGATTGCTCACTGGCTTAATCACTCACTCACCCACTCGATCGCCCACTTATTCACTTAGCGGGTGAATCGCCCAAGCATCCACCTACCTGCCCACTCTACTCACTCATGCACTTGCACACACACATGTTCACTTACTTGCTTGCTAAATAATTCCCTCGCTGATCTATCCACCAATTTTCTGACTTATGCTCCAGCCACCCCACTCCTGCATTCGCTCTCACGGTTACTCACTCCGTCACTCCCTTGTTGAATCACTCACTCATTCACCCAGCAATCTAGCCTCTCACTCACCAACTTAATTACATATTCATGCACTCACTTGTATTCTCGTTCACTGGCTTAATTACTCACTCACCCGCTTGATCGCCAATCCACTCACCCACCCAACCCCTTTGCACACTACACATCCAAACCCACCCACTCAAACACACGCATCCATTCACCCACCAACCCACACACCCACCCATCCACTAAATCACTGACTCACCCACTCATCCACCGACCCACTTGCTACATCACCGACTTAGTCAATCACCCATCCAGCTGTGTGTGTTTGGCTTCGTGTTGAGGAAGGCCGTCGTGCTGGCTGCGTGTGTTCACAGCTACTGACTACGGCCTCTTCTTGTCGGACGAGGACTCGAAGAAGGGGATTTGGCTGGAATCCGGCCGGAGTCTCGACTACTACATGCTGAGAGATGGCGTAAGCACGAGCCAGAATCCGTGGCACATACAACCACTTGGGCCCCACTCTTATACTTTATGCAAATCTGAGCATCTGTCAAACGCATGAACAAATTGCCGAGGGATCTGCGAACACACAGGTCTAACTTGTACACACAGACACACGTTCACTCGCGTGCTAAATCATTCCCTCGCTGATTTATCCACTCATTTTCTCACTTATACTCCAGTGACCCCACTCCTGCATCTTTGAATAATTGTGTTGACAATAGTACATTATTTATATATATTTAGTGAGGTTTGCATAGCTTAATGGGTGCTTCTCCATAATGCTGTGTTTTTCAAGCGGTCCCTTCGTATGTGTCACCTGAGAGTCGGCACTTACGCATGCTGTAATTTGCGGCAGTTCTGAGACAAAATCGGCCTTATAAGGGAATTATTATTGGTCACACGTGTCGGGCTGTGTGACCTTAAAACATTCAGACATGAGTATTCTCGGCATCCAACACACCACTTAAAGGTTTGACGATTGAAATGAATGTGTTCATCGTCTGGTCCATTAAACAAAGATGGGAGAAAAAAACTGCCACGGTGATAAATATTCATTGGAAGACATAGCGCAGGTTAATACGGCGGGTGTACTCCCCAAAAAATACGCACCCTTGGCTTTGCAGTAGACAGTCAAGATGCCATAAAGGTCATTCAAAAAGAGTAGGCCATGTGTGCCGGCATAACGCCGTCCCGTCTGCTCCACCTCGCCATCTCCTCCACCGCCACGTCTCCTCCGCTTCCGCAGGATCTGCTCGAGTACCGCAAGAAGCAGCGACCCCTCAAGGTGCGCATGCTGGATGGCACCATCAAGACGGCAATGGTGGACGACTCCAAGACCGTGGGGGATATGCTGCTCGCTGTCTGCGCCAGGATCGGTGCGTTTTCACGGAGCAGTTAATCTCACAATTTCTCTGCGTGCATGCCACCATCCACTGGTCACTAAGTTAACACAGCGACAATTTTGATGTAAGATAAATGACAATATTTGCTAAATGATGTCCCTTTTTCAAGCCACTGATGGATGAAAGCCTTCCCCTGCATCGTGTTGGTCACGGGTTGTTTGGATATCCTTCGCTAAGCTGATCCGTGCAGGTTGGTCAAGGGGTGGTCCATTTTCGATTCAGATATCACTCGCCACTGATGTCAGCTGTGGCGAGGAATAAAAATCCGATTGCCAGGTTCATAGCGCATTGCACTATAACCACCACGGGCCAACACTTCATCCACCTTTTAATATAGGGGTCATTATATACAATCAGACCGGCTGAATGGTTCAATTTCTTGCTTCAAGAATCACATTACCTCCTGTGGATTTGCTTTTTAACGCCCTGTTTGTTTCGTGTGCGTGTGTGTGCGCGCGCGGTTGTTTTCCACCGCACCCGGAAGGCATCACCAACTACGAGGAGTATTCGCTGGTGCGAGAGGTGGCGGAGGAGAAGGCGATGGATGGCACGGGGACGCTGAAGAAGGACCGCTCACTCCTGCGCGACGAGAAGAAGATGGAGAAGCTCAAGCAGAAGCTCCACACCGACGATGACAGTAAGGCTGCGCTATTGACGCATCTCGCTCGCGATTTTATTGCCTAAATACACAGGCAACCCCTGCCCGCCCGTTCTCATAACAACGAATCACAACTTAAACTAGTATGTTTTCTCACTCAAGTGTTCTATAATTGTTTATTTGTTAAGAATTATAATCATATAACATTTTACGTACAAATTCTGGAAGTTGTGCGCACCCACTACCCACCTCCAATCCGTATTTGCCGGTTATGTATTGTGACGGTCATTGTTGGCTTGGGCATTCACCAGTTACATACAGCCTTGATTGATGTGTGCCTATGCCTGCGTGCGCAGAAGTCGGTTTTGCAACATTACACAATCAGCCTTCCAAATATTCGCAAAATTGGGTCATATTCCTCTTATTCACAAGGGGACCGCTAGCATCCGTGCGAATAATTGAGATCTGCCTATATATTGCTAATGGGATCCGGTCCATTGGAGTAATCCAGCCCTTCATTCAAGCCCACGCTTGGGGAATAGCCCATCGCTAGCGCCGTTGTTTCCCATTAGACATTATTTTTCTGCTCGTTGTGACCCCTGCTCCCCATGACGCTGGAGACACTTGACCTTTGCCCCCCCCCCCCTCCTTCCTGCGTGCAGTGAACTGGCTGGACCACGGGCGCACGCTGCGCGAGCAGGGCGTGGAGGACGTCGAGACTCTGCTGCTGCGACGCAAGTTCTTCTACTCGGACCAGAACGTGGACTCGCGTGACCCCGTGCAGCTCAACCTTCTCTACGTGCAGGTGCAGGCGCCAGCAGAGGAGCCGAGTGCCCCAGTGTGTGGCGCTCCGTTCTCTCCGCTGGTGTTGGAGTACCCGGCACTGCTGCTCTGTGCAATAGTGCTATGGCCAATCGTGGTCTCGGAACACTACCGGCACAAATAATATTACCACCATCATTGCTACCACCGTTAGTTATCATTCCTGTTATCATTCGCACGACGGCCTTCACACCAACATCAGTTCCTCACCATCGTCACTATACCACTCTCACCATCATTACCACTACCATTAGTGCCACACCTGGAACACTACCACTACCACTATTACCACCACCATTGCCACTACCACCACCACTGAACCAAATATATCCTAGATATGAATTGTGTAACAGTGATTCTTACATTCAATGTATCTATCAGTGGCTATGTTCCACCACTAATTATTAGCAGCACAGCAATCGCTATTTGCGCATATTTTACCACCAACTGTTTTCACAACGACCAGCAGCACCAACGAGACCACAATCTACGTTCGTTTCAGCCCCTATGCCGTGTTAAGTTGTACGAGCAAGGGATGTCTAAATTTATTCCTGAAATCTCTGAGATTCCATGCCGTGTTTTTCCTTCTCTCTGCAGGCTCGGGATGACATCCTCAACGGTTCGCACCCCGTGTCGTTTGAGATGGCGTGCGAGTTTGCCGGGTACCAGGCTCAGATTCAGTTTGGGCCGCACAACGAGCTCAAACACAAACCGGGATTCCTTGAGTGAGTTCCGCTCGACTGCTTTGCGAATTCACGCGCACACTTAACCAAGAGTTAAAACGTCGCGATGTGTCTGACTCTCCCGCTGGTTTCTGCAGCAGCAGAAGATTTTAATTAGCGACCGTATATGAGTTGTTTAAAAATGAATCTCACTTTATTATGTTTTGTAGCAACAAAAAAAAAATTCTGAACATCAAAGGATGAACAAGCTAATAAATTTGCAGTAATCTTTATGTCCTGACATACCCTATAAATGCGCCATACATATTTAATAGCGGTATGGCTGCAATAAAGCATCTTCGTAAAATTTCGTCTCCTTTTACAGCTTGAAGGAATTCCTGCCAAAAGAGTACGTGAAGCAGCGAGGAGCGGAAAAGAGGCTCTTTCAGGTGCCCGTTGAACTCTCCTTTCAGAATTTTCTATCGCGATTGAAAAACTTGCACGTGCCGCATTTGTAGTAAAACCACTTTTGAGCCAGCGTGTTTTGTGCCGTTTTTTTAATCTTCAAAGTATTTTTCCGTGCATGTGTTTTTGTTCTCGGGAACGTGGCTCAGGAGCACAAGAAATGCGAATCAATGACGGAGATTGAGGCCAAGGTGCGCTACGTACGGCAGGCACGATCGCTCAAGACCTACGGCGTGTCCTTCTTCCTCGTCAAGGTCAGTGGTGGCATGAACACGACGCCACCCCTCGCTTTCAACTCGGAGGCCTGAAAAGTAATGTTCTCTTGCTCTGCTTGACTGGTCTCGGCTAAGCAACCTCCCTTGTCTGTCCCATCTCCTCCTGCTCCTTCAGGAGAAGATGAAGGGCAAGAACAAGCTGGTGCCACGGCTGTTCGGCATCACCAAAGAGTCGGTGATGCGCGTGGATGAGAGGACCAAGGAGGTGATACAGGAGTGGCCGCTGACCACGGTCAAACGTTGGGCCGCTTCGCCGAAGAGCTTCACCTTGGTGAGAGCGTATGCTGCGAGTCGTACGTCACCCTGTGACCCACATCTCGCGATCCTTGTGCAGGCCGCGGCCCGTCGCTTGACTGGTAGGCGGCCACATTGTGAGCCTTGTGACCATCACAACGACGGCGCTAGCAGTGTCTCGTTATGCAGGGACAAAACCTTCCTGTGCTTGCCTGTGGGAAATTGTCAATGGCTTTCGAGCCCACGTCATTCACAGTGGAGCTCGCCGCGTTTATATATCACATCGATTCCATTTCCCTGCAGGATTTTGGGGATTACAGTGACGGCTACTACTCTGTGCAGACGACAGAAGGGGAGCAGATTGCTCAGCTTATCGCTGGCTACATCGACATCATCCTCAAGAAGGTATCCTGCGCAGCAAATCGCTGGAGCTTGATCCATTGCGGTTAAGGTGCTTTGGGACAGTCAATGAGACTGTATCCGATACAGCAACCTCTCCTGCATCGCTCACCCACCCTCCTCCCCACATCCTGCCTCCCCACTTCCTCTTTTGTCTGCAGAAAAAAAGCAAGGATCGCTTCGGCACCGAGGGAGACGAAGAGTCGACCATGCTGGAGGACTCGGTCTCCCCAAAAAAGTGCGTCGTTTGATCTCTTTGCGCTTGTTTTAGCATCGGCTTTTCGCTGGCCACGCCGACCAAAACCTGCGCAAAACGCAAATGAGCACGTTTCCAGCCAAGTTATTGATTTCAAGATGAGATGACCTGGCATCGAGATTATCCTAAATTTCTTCTTTAAAAACAGCCGCTTGTGGGATTTCAGCCATGTGCATTTAGTTAGGTGTCTGTTTCCACCCCTATTGCCATCGTTTATAATTTGGTTCATCCTCCACGGAGTTCCGCTCAAGGGTCCTTTTTGCGTAGGGGGTCGGGGGACTGCGAGTCATTCCATTTGAACCTTCGGTCAAGCCCCATGATGCCTGTCCTGCAGCAACAATGATCAGCGTACAATACAAGACACAACTACTCTCCTTTGTTGGGCGTAAGAGGGTCCCGGTGGTCGCAGTGCGTAGCCGCATTGCAGACTCGTCACCACCGTTTTCAATTGCAAATCCAGTGCTTCCTAAATTTACTACGCTCCTAGGGGGGAACTTGGGCTGTTAGCGGCGACCTTTGAGGGTTACCGATCGAGCGCTGCTCTCATTCACAATGACAAATAAATGTGATCTCTCCCGGGCCCCCTCATAGCCGCGCGCGTCCAAATGGAGTGCAAACACCAATTTGAGGACAGGCCGTCGGCACAGTCTGCAGGGACCACTCTGAGCCGGCGGTTTCGAAAAGCGGCACCGTCGACGCAGCCCGTGCCTCCGCATCATGTCGCTCGTTGAGAGAGAGCGCAGCTGGTGACGTCTCTTGGGTGGCAGCTCGTTGACGCGTGCACACACACGCTTGCACGCTTGTTTCCGTGTGTGCCAGTCATCTCAGTAGGGAGCAGTAGTGTAGCAGTTAGCGCGCTGAGCTACGAACCCGGCGACCCGGGTTCGATTCCCGCTCACGGCCAACACCAGTTATGATTAGCTGACCTGGTCTTGGGCTGCCCCAAGGTTGACTCGGCTTCAAATGAGTACCTGATGCGGTGTGTCAGAACATCGCCACTGGGGAGACAAAGGCGGTTGGGCGTAGTGCTGGCCACCCACCCGCTCGTGTGCAATGCCGGCCTTCATAGGTGCTCGCTAACAGCACTTGCCCCAAGAGTCTGTTTTCGCTATATGGGGAATCTTTCTCTTTGAAAGTCATCTAAATCAATCAACCCATGGCACCTGGTCTGTCCCGTGCACATAATCTTGGCACAAGCGCCATGTAACATCACCGGCACGGTTTTTGTTGTGTGTGCGTGTTGGTGACGGTTTTCTTGGGCGTGCGTACGTGCATGCAGATCCACCGTCATCCAGACAAACTGCAACCCCATGGGCATGGCGGAGCACGGCTCCGTGGCCCTGCCCGCAGTAATGCGGGGCATCGGTGGACCCGAGAGCCTGGGCCGTGGCGTCATGCCCGGCGCTAACAAGGTCATCACTAGTGGTGCGATGCACCGTGGGCATCTGCCACCCATGGTGAGCTGTGGATTTGGGTCGGTGAAAATGTTGTTCTTTTGTTTTATTTTGCGAATTATGCAGATGTTTATTTTCTGTTGGAATCTGCCTGCCAGGACATATATATACATTTTTTAAGTGTTCTTTTCTCTAACCTTTATTATTAAAAATCTTCTATGCAATTGTGTCGTCAGGTTAAATGATGCATTTGTAACTCTTGACGATGACTACATCAATCCATATGAGAGAATGGCCCATGGAAGAGCTACTTAAGAGATTCTTAAAAATATGTTTTAACCACACGCCTTGCAACAGATAATTTTTATTTGCGTATCAGTCAAACTAATATATTTTTATTCACAAATCTTAAATTTATACAAATTAGGCAAACAAATCATATTGAATGGAATGACGTTTTTCTCCAATTATTAGTGAGGCTGAGACCATCATCTCCTCCGCTACACTTCAGAAACCCAGGTTAAAGACGGGTGACTGAAACCCGAATTCGAACCCAGAATCTACAGAATGCCTGGCTCAGCGCTCTGACTTTTGAGATATGGCTGCTGAAGCCTGCTTATATCTATACCTGCGTGTCATGTGTCTTCCCCTTTCCACACAGTCAACAAATCAGCAAGCGTTGATGGGCACCATCACGTCAAGCATGCAGGCCGTGCAGCAGGCCGGCAGCAGCCTGGATGAAATGGACGCGTTGCCCCCGCTCGGGCAAGACAAGGTCAGGGGTCACCCGATTGCTTGGTTGGCATGGGGGGGGCAGGGGCAGGTGATACCCCGAAAACGTGGTACCATGGATGGATTTTTGAGGGTCGCTGTAGAGATGTCACTGGAGGTGGCATGGTCTTTTTAGGCTTTGGCTTATGTTTGTTATTTATTCTTGTAAGAAGTGTAGATAGCATTAGAGCATTACATCAGTGTCACATAGAGTAATGCGTTTGTTTTCTTTTGATGTTGTAGCCCCGTGACCTTAAGTTCACCATCTTCACTCCCACCACCCTTATCCCTCCAGGCATCCAAGGCCTGGCGTCAGTACAAGATGGACCAGGCAAAGCATGAGATCCATTCACAAGTGGATGCTATAAATGCCAGCACTGCCTCCTGCATCAACCTTACATCCGGTCAGCGTTTACTCTTCCCCACGCACGACCCTTAGCAGTTGGGTCGCCTGTTCTGGCTTTCTTGCTATGCATGGTCTTGTGGATTCATCTTTTCCATTCACTGAAAAAAAAATACAGGAATGGCCATTTGTGTCTTGGTATAAAACACTCCCACAAGTGGAGATTTTAATTTTTTTGTTGTAAAAAATTGGCCCAGAGCTGTCTTTTGGCCAACTTATAAATTAGACCCGCTGTTATTGGGTCTTTTACAATTTGAAATATTTTTACTCATTTCCTCAATCGATCTATTCATCGCAATTTTATCGCTCAAATGCCACCTCCGCTGCTACTGCCGTGATTCATTTCCACCTCTGCTGCTGCCCGCTGTGTAATAAAATTTTATCCATTAATTATCTTTCTGGTAACTCCTATCCTCTTCCTCCTGCCACTCATCCTCTGCCTCCACCACCTCCCGGCTGCAGGCGACGCAGCCGACACGGACTACACGGCGGTGGGCTGCGCCGTGGTGACGATCTCGTCGAACCTGACGGAGATGTCTCGCGGCGTTCGTCTGCTCGCGGCGCTCACGGAGGAGGAGGGCGGCGATGGCAGGGCCCTGCTGCAAGCGGCGCGCGGCCTCATCGACTGCATCTCCGACCTGCTCAAGACCGTGCAGCCGTCGTCCACAGAGGTGAGGCCACGCCACTCTCCTGGCAATACTCCTTCACAACAGCAACAGCCACCATTCACCACTAAACGGCGGTGACGTCACCACGGTGCCCGTGGCTTCCTTTCCATTGCACACACGCATCTCTCTGCCCTCCAGATATCGGCATGAGAGCATTGGAGAGCTCAGTTTGATTATCTTTTTAAAGTTATCGTTTGCTCGGGCATGCTTTTATTGTCTGTTGGTGACTCATTGGTGGGTGACTGGTGGGTTTGCACAATTCTGTGTGAAAGGTGAATGATCCATGGGTCATTGCTAAGCATGCGGCCCGCGGTACCTTGTACGAATGGTGAAGGATCAAGTTTGTCTTGGCACACGAGACACGGTGCTTGAATGTTGAGTGATCTGTTCGTGGTGAGTGATCTACGTCTGACGAGTGATCGTGAGTGAATGGTGAGCGATCAGCATGCCATGTGGTGTGTGCAGCCTCGCCAGGCGGTGCTCACAGCGGCCAGCACCGTTGGGCGGTCGAGCAACAACCTCCTCAAGCAGATTGGCCAGCAAGGTGTGGACCAGCAGTTCCAGGTTAGGCGCCCGTGAGATTCACAAACAACACTCCACGACCAAACTACATATTTACCGCCGATGGCTGAATCACAGAATCACTGTCTTCAGAGATTTTATCAACCTCGTCTGGTATGCAGGAGGTCGTGAGTTCAATCCCGACTGACGCCTGAATATTTTTAGTTTGCACGTTCTTCCCGTGGTCGCGTTTCATTTTCTCCGGGTTCTTCGATTTTTCTCTTCACATTTAGAAACGTACGTTAAGAGTATTTGGCTGCTATAAATATCCACACAATAAGCCACTTCATTGGGCTATCATTTGTGGCCAGGTTGCTTCTGAAAAAGAGCTATGTAGCTCAGTGGACCTTACCTGGTAAAATAGAAAATAGTTTATGATTTTAGATTGTTGAGTTTATTTATTTTTTCACAGATGGTCCCTGCTATTTGGACGGGATATCCGTGGTGTGTTAGCATAGCAACAAAAACAAACGACAAAAAAAAATCTATATTTCAAGTTTCAGGTTATTGTGAATACTTGGAAGGGAGACTGCTTTAGAATAAACTAAACTATAAACTATTACCAGATATATTAGGCTTGGGGCTGTTCAGCCCAGAGTTGGCAGTACAGCGTTGCACTCGGTGCTCGTGTAGATTTAAAAACTGTGGGTATGGCTGTGGGAAGGAGTGTTGAAACACAGCAAGGCTTCGCTGCATAAAGGACTCTATCGTTATCATCATTTACACCAGGCTGTGGTGTGGGCCTGTGACTGTTTACATTTTACTTGCACTGCATCAAGGACTTGTGTTTTTGTACTGTACACCGTGAATGTAAGTGTTTTTTTTAATTTGCAGAACTAAACATTTGAAAGATATACCGATTTTTATACGGAATTATAGTGTATTACATTATTTTTAATATCTAAGGAAATTTTCTGATGTTAGGTGTCTTAATTTTACTTCATGGTCTTTTCCAGCCAACCGACAACACCTTGTTCAATTCTTTCCCTGACTTTAGAATAAATCTACATTGATAAACATAACCAAACATCCCAATTTAGCACCTTCCTGAAAAAAAAGTGTCGTGACACTGTGCGGTTTCCCTCAGTCAGAAAAGTGCAATGGTGTTTATCATCAAATCACAAAAACCAACGTGCTCTGAATAAGGGCCATTGCACAAATATATTATTTTAGTAAATATTTCAGTTGCAATATGTGACTGTGTGTGTTAACGACAGTGACAGCGGTGGAATATTTTCGCCGAACATTTTGTCCGTTTTTATATATTTCTTACATAACACCAAATTGCGGTTGAAATGTAAATAAAACGCTTTCTGCCCATGCCTGTTTGTTATTGACTTTGCTTGCTCGCCTGCCATCCCATTGGGAAGAGCTCAGCGGGAAATTCCCCACGCAATTCCACCTTGAGCTAACAACAAACAAATGAAACGGTAAATAAATTGTGACACGCTCACTCGCTGTGAGTGGGCCTATTTCGCTTGTCTACGGATGATAATGGTGATGTGCAGACCACTTTGTGGGACATCAATAGTCATTGTCCTATGGCTTGACTGGCTCCACTACAGGGGTGTTGAATTTCCACGACAGACACATTTGATCAGGGGTGTGACTTTACTTCACGGAACGGACCGATAACTTTTCATAAAACGTTTGAGATGTGTTTAGGAATCGGTTGGCTTCATTAAGTGTGCTGACAGTGCAATTTCACCCAGGCCTTTGGGCCGCAGACACTGAAGCGCCAAGCTACGAAGAGGGGGAAGTGAATTAGACAGGTGGTGACACGCTCACTCGAGTGTGCCTGTTACATGTTATGCCATCGCAGCAGAGGTTTCAAGTTCCCCTCCCCTCCGCTATCCTCCTTGCCCCCTTGTCTCCCTCACATGTCCCACGTTCTCCGCGTGTCTCCAGGACGTGCTGAACCAGCTGGCCAAAGCGGTCGCCAATGCAGCCGCTGGCCTGGTGCTCAAGGCCAAGACGGTTGCCCAGAAGGCGGACGACCAAGCCCTGCAAAACCAAGTGATCGCTGCGGCGACGCAGTGCGCGCTGTCCACGTCCCAGCTCGTTGCCTGCACCAAGGTGCCTCCACCAACGCCTTCTGCCAGTCACTAGCAGAGGCTCCTCTCATCAGTCCCTGCAGCCAGTCCCTGCCACGGGTCACTGCAACCTGTCCCTGCTTTCGGTCCCATTGGCCTGTCCCCATTTGCAGTTTCGGTGACTAATCCGCGTCAGCCGTATTAGCCAGTGCTCATCACCGGTGCCATTGGTCAGTCCTCGCTGCCTGTCGCTTTCACCAGGTTCAGCTGGTCAACACATATCTTTCATGAATTGTAAGTGTTTGATCTCGCACACACTATTTGTTGCTTGTATTGTGAACGTGAGAATTATAATCGATGACCGCCGAGTATACACAGCCAGCATATGGCATGGTTCAGTAATCTGTTGCTGAAATACTCGGATAGCCCAGCTGTAATTTAAGGCATGGAAATAAATATTGTTTAAAGCAACGACAAACGGTAATTCAACAATAATGAAACGACACGTTGCTTCACCAGCTACAAAGCTGTAGAGTTGCTGCTCATACCGGGGAATCGACGAGTTGAGTTCCAGGGTGCCTTGCGACGACATCTTTTGCATCGACGATTTGTGCGAAAGTTCCAACAGGCGAAACGTGGCGTGGTCACCACGTGATGGTGGTCATTTTGCTAATAGAGCGATCGTCCTGCGGTGCACAGGTGGTGGGCCCCACCATGGACTCGCCCGTGTGCCAAGAGCAGCTGATGGAGTCGGGGAAGCTGGTGGCACGTGCCGTCGAGGGCTGCGTGCGCTCGTCGCAGGAGGCCACCAAGGACGACGAGCTGCTCCGCCAGGTCGGCGGCGCTGCTGGCGCCGTCACGCAGGCGCTCGACGCGCTGCTGCAGCACGTCAAGCTGCTGGCGTCGGGCGGGCACGGCATGGGCCGCTACGATTGCGCCACCGACACCATCATCACCGCCACCGAGAGCATCTTCAGCTCAACCGGCAACGCAGGTGACCCTGCAACGCACCCAGCCACCTACCCACTCACCCAATCAATCAGTCACATACACACCCACCCTTCCTATCCTCTGCACTGCAATGCCCTGCCAATGCAGCCAGCGCCATCGGGGGGTGGGGCAGGGCGTGGCGCTGTTCCAAAAAGGTTGCAGCGTCCACCTTGGCTTTCCTGTTTTGTTTGAGTGAGTTTGTGTTACCTTTTAGGAATGTAATGATTAGTCACATGTAGATAATTGTTTTATCTTTGTGGTATGTATGTTTAGTGACATAGAATCGGTCACAGTAGCAGCACAGCGTTAGCTGCTGGCAGGGAAGGGGATCTGCAGCTTACAGCAGCCCTGACTGACAGCGGGCCACGTGATAGACAAAAGAGGGATCTCGGGGAAGGGTCACAGAAGGGGCACATGGAGAACCCGCTAGTAGGTTCCAGAAGGGCGCGTGGCCGGGGGCGGGGCCAGGCCACGCTGACAGTATAAGAGGGGCCCCTGGAGAGGACCTCGTGGCTGTCGTTTGGAGTGTTTACGTCGTGTTCGCTTGGATGCCCGCATTCTTTTTTATTGAACGGGAGTCGCGTTTTTTTCGGGGGCAGGTGAAATGGTGAAGCAGGCTCGGCTGCTGGCCCAGGCCACGTCTGACCTCATCAACGCGATCAAGGTGGACGCGGAGGCCGAAGGAGACCAGGAGAACTCGCGTAAACTCCTCGCGGCCGCCAAGTACCTGGCTGATGCCACCGCCAAGATGGTCGAGGCTGCGAAGGTCAGAAAATGTTTGAGAACTTTTTTTTTTCTATTACTAGATATATAATATACAATTTTAGCAACAAATAATGCATATAACAGATTGACTGAAGATAAAACTTTTTTTTTAAGGATTGAGATTCTGTCCCTTTTTATAATCGACTTTTTAAATCATTACTAAATTGTATATTTTTCCAATATAATATATTGACTGTAGAGATTTCACAATATACTTGTTCATGCATGAGTAATCAAAGAGTGCTTTGCGCATATTGCTAAAGATGATCATGGTGATGTGGCACACCACTTTGTGGGACATTGACCTCTGGCTTGACTGGCTCCACTATAGGAGTGTGGAATTTCCACTGCTGACACATTTGATTAGCGGTGTGACTTTCCTGAACGGAACAGACCATTAAAATTTCTGAAAACATTTGAGATTTGTTTAGGAATCGGTTGGCAAACGTTATCGAGCGTGCAAGCAGTGCAATTTAACCCAGGCCTTTGGTTCAGCAAACACCCAAGCGCCAAGCTACGAAGAGAGGGAGATAAATCTGGTAGGGTGGGGGTCGGGAAATGGGGGGGGGGGGCGACCCAATTAATTCCTTGCACCAGGGCCTATGCCCCAACAAACATGCTTCGCCACTGTTAGCAGTGACAATTTGACATGCCAATTGCATAACCAGCGTGCGCCTGTGTTTTTTTTTCCTGGGGGTGGGTGGGGTCGCTCTGCAGGGCGCAGCTGCGAACCCGGAGAGCGAGGAGCAGCAGCAGCGGCTGCAGGAGGCTGCGGAGGGGCTGCGCGTCGCCACCAACATCGCCGCCCAGAACGCCATCCGCAAGAAGCTGGTGCACCGGCTGGAGGTGCGCACCACAAGGCGCCCTCGCCAGTCTCCTGCTGCTACTCCGTACAACTCAACAGAATTCATTAGGAGTACCGATTCATCCATTTATTTGTTGAAGTTAATTCTTCAGATAGTTGGCCATTGGGCTTTTTGGTCAGAGCACTCGGCCTGCGCCGCTGAGATCCTGTGTTGAGATCCGGGGTTGCAGCCGCTTGTATTTAAACGGTGCTCACAAGTGTGGAAACGGTGAAGATGCCCACATTATAATACAGCATCAGCTCTGGTGGTCACCACAGCAGTGCAGCAGCATGACCGACGCACAGCCTAGATACGTTTCGATGACGTGAGTGCTCCAAGTTGTTTTTGTTGCGTGTTGCATCTTTCTTTAGTCGTCGCCGTTTGGGTGTTTCCCCCCGCCAGGTGGCTGCGAGGCAGGCTGCGGCGGCCGCCAGCCAGGCCATCGCCGCCGCCACGCAAGCGGCCGCCTCCAACAAGAACCCCGCCAATCAGCAGCAGCTCGTCAGCTGTAGCAAGGTGAGGTTTTGAAGGCCGCGACATTGCCGCAGGCCCCTGCGGTATTTAAAACAATTATTTTTACTGACGCACTGCAAACGTTATCATCGTTGTTAAAAATTTTAAGGCAGCAACAGGAGCAATAACAGCAGCAGTGTCATCGTCATTAGCAACAGACTCATGATCATTTCCACCACTGTCACCACCATCATTGCCAGCAGCAGCACCAACAGGAACTGCTAAATTATCAACAGCAATATAATTGGTACTACCACCACAATCATCAGCAGCAACAGCATCAAAAAGATAACATGATCATCATGGGGAGAGGAGGCGTTTTTTATTTTATTTAGAGAGAGACAGTAAATCATAGACAGTGCATAACCTTTCTAAAAGAGCAATTATGGCTTCCTATTAAAAGCAGCCAAGTGGTTTTTTCTTCTCAGTTTCAAAGGAAGCAGAGCATTCTAGAGACGTAGCAATAAAGAACTGCATGTGCTAATGTGTGCTTGGAGAGATCGTCATATAGGCTTGTGTGTGCTGCTTTGGCTGTGTGCGTGCATGCGGACAGAACGTGGCGGACCATGTCCCGCAGCTGGTACAGGGTTGGCGTGGGAGCCAGAGCCAGCCCGACAGCCCCAGCGCACAGCTGGCCCTCATCACTGCCAGTCACAACTTCCTGCAGGTACCAGCGCTACGACCACCTCGCCCTAAATACCCATAATCCATCTCACTGGGCCTCGGTTTGAGGCTGGTCAGTTCTCGGATGGGTGACTGCCTCGGAATACTGTAGGCTTAGGCTACAAAGCGGCCAGGAGATGGCAGCACAGCAGTGCATTAAATCTAACTGTCTGAAGCTTTCAGTGTTATTCCTTTGTATGGCTGGTGTGTTTTCTCTGTATACTCAGGTTTCCTCCTCCGTGCCAAACACCCATTATTGGAATTGGTCAAACATCTCAATGAAAACGATTCTTACAACTCATGAATCAAGAATGTTATTACTATTACGAGTCATGCCTCCAACAGGTTCTGTGAAAACACCAACACCACCGAAGAATTTGAGTGGGAGATTAACATTTTGTCTGCGCTCTGATTTCTGACGTGCGTGTGTGTGCGCGCGCGCATGCATGTGTGTTTGCACGATGGCGCCGTGTTGGGATTTTGCCCAAGCCAATGATCGCAGCATCAGGAGGTGGAGGAGGAGGAGAGGTGGCAGTATCCGGAATGTGCTGTTATTTCAGAGCCTTATAGGGCAAGCGGTTTTTCTGGAGAATGAGGCCACTCTCCTCCTCCTCCCGTAGCCCCTGGCCGGTCGTTTGTTTACGCAACGTGCATTGTTCATCGCAATTACACGTCCCCAGTGTTTATTCAATTAGAGTTAGTGGTTGGTGTTCGTATGCTGCTGCTGCTGTAAATGTCCAACGTTTATGTCTGCGCTTGTTCCTTGGAGGCAATTACTTTTCCCTTCTGGTTACTTTCGACAATTATAATCATTTATAATTATGTCCATTATTATAACTATAGCCGGTGTTAGTTATTAGAGAACATTTGTTATTTTTACTTTTTTTGACTTGCTTTTGGTTTTATTTTTTTAAGATGAGCTATTTTTAAGGTTGTTTGGTAAAGTATTAGTAACAATAATAAATGGGGGTTTTTTTTCAGACATATTCCTCTTATGATTACACCAACAAACTTAGGGCAATCGTGTTAGAATTATATCACGTAAAAAATACAGGCAACATATCACATTCAACTAATTCGCAATGCATCGTGAATTTCCCATCACACGTTCACTGCTGCCAATGTGTACAGTGCATGTTCAGTTCTAAACGGGCCCACCAATAAATACAACAACTCAATTTAGCACATTACCACTGAACCAGTGGGCGGTGACGGTCACGGCTCTTGAGGAATGCTCTGGCTTTCCGGACACGCAGATTTGTCCACCCACGTTTCTCCTCCGCCCGAGATCACTTTCACCAAATGGCCTTGTGCCGTCAAACTCCTCTTTGTCTATAATAATGCGGAGGGTCTTCTGAGCAGATCCTATTATTATTGTCTGTGAAAAATTACTCTTGTTGTCCATGTGGCGATCCGTGGATAAGCACGGATAATAGATAAAAGAATTGCTACTACTCTAAGTTGACTCATCCTAATAATAGTAAGAGTTTGCTGCTACTTCTGGGTGACACCTTGACCACTTTAAAGCGTGGCCAATGGGAAGGCTTCATTTGCAATGTCGCATATTTGACCATCACATCCGCTCTGACCAGTTAACCATTCCCACCCAGTGCAGTATTTGTGCACGGTGTAACATTATATATATATTTCACTATGTAACACAATTTTTGTTCCTGGGTACTAAGTGTTATTTTTTAATTGCTTATACCTAAAAAGTATAGAAAATGGGTATTATTCCCTATAAACTTTGCTTTTGTGACCTTTTCACATATTCACCTATACCTCAGTGCCCGATAAGTCGTATGTACGTGTGTATGTTGAATTGATTTTGCAACCATGCTAATCGGAGGCGTGGGTCGTAATGAAACGTTGCACTGAATTGTAATCTTTCTTGGATGGACTGGGGAGCTCAGATAAAGAGGAAGAGCGGACTATCGGGGTACGGATGAGGGAGCGGTTTCGCTACAGGGCCAAGTCCGTGGTGGCCACTGCAGATACACCAACTCGATCACTGACGTGTTTTTTTTTACCCCGTTTCCCCTCTCTCTCCTTTGCAGCCGGGTACTAAGATGGTGGCAGCCGCCAAAGCGTCGGTTCCGACCGTGACGGACCAGGCCTCGTCCATGCAGCTGGGCCAGTGCGCCAAGAACCTGGCCACTTGCCTCGCCGAGCTGCGCACAGCTGCACAGAAGGTGGGGAGACGCCGCTGCGGTGGCCGTGGCGGCGGCGGCGTCGTCGTGAATCGTAAATCTACCGCTCGCGCCCGACGTTCTGCCCCCCCCAGGGCCGCGTGTGATGTCGACGCTGTGGAATCCGCTTAGTGTTGTTTATGCGGCAGCCGGCTGCCTCCCCCTCTGTCTGATTGTTGTCTCGTATGTGACATATATAGGCATGAGGCCATGCTGATTTAGAGAGAATGCTGTCAGTACTTACTTACGGCTAGGTTTTACAGAGAGGTTTTGTGTGAGTTTGTGGGTTCACATCTGTGCATGTGTGTGCGCACGGCCGGGTATGCTGCTGGCCACCCTAACCCATCGTGTACCGTGCCTGGCCTTCATATGTGCGAACAGCACTTGCCCCAACAGTGTTCAGGCTATATGGGGGCATCTTTGTCTTTGTGTCCATGTCCATAATGGGGCAGGTAACGATGCCATTGCAATTGAGTCTATATTCACGATACGGATATTGAAATGTGGAAGACTCCATTCATTGCTAAATATTTTCGATGTGTATATGTTGGATGTAATTTGTTCAAGTAATCGCGACAGCCACCAGAGGTACTACTTTTACCACAACGTAAAAAAGCAACAACAATTCTTGACTCCAAATCGTGATGACTGACCGCTTCGCGAGAGGGCGAATTGTCATTAGCCCTTTGCATAATTACATAATTGAAATGGACAGCGAGTACATTGTGGGATATTTCGTGATTGAATTGTTGAAATACCAAATTAAAATCTACACTCCATCACTTGCAACGCAAAAGTCTGTTCACATATAGGTTACGCTGTGATAATGTTTTTGGAATTTGCCAACTCGTATCAGACAACTTATCATTGTCCCTACCCCTGGCCCTGTATGACCCCACGTCAGATTCAGATGTCTCACGACGCCACAGTTTCTTGGTTTGGTTCCGGCTCGGCACGTAACGTGACCTGTAGAAAACCACCTGTAACGTGGCGGCCTTGCGCTGACTATGCTTGGATGTGCCAGTAGAAGTTGAGTTATCGGTGCCAGTATTATGTTGCCGTGTTTGTTCCGTATCCTCATGCATCTGTGGCGAGATGTTAACTACCTCGCCAGGTATGCAGGACTTCGTGAGTTTGATCCCAACTCCTGTATATTTGGAGTTTGCATATTCTCCCTACGGTCCTGTGGATTCTTTTCCGAATCCTCTCATTTTTCCCTCCACATTTAGAAACATCCATTCGGAATATTTGGCTCCAATAAATTTCCCCGATAAGCCACTTCGTTGAGCTATCATTTGTAGTCAGGTCGCTTCTGAAATAGAGCTATATAGCTCAGTGGGCATTCTCTGGTAAAAAAAAAATAGTTTTAAATAGTTTAGTTTGTGTTGTGCCAGGCCCAGGATGCGTGCGGAACACTGGAGATCGACTCGGCCCTTGACCTCGTCCGCTCGCTCGAGGCCGAGCTACAGGAGGCGAAGGTGGCGGCCGCCGACGGGAAACTTCACCCACTACCCGGCGAGACGGTACGGGTGCCGTGCCCTGTCCACACCCCGCAGCTCACCGAACTCCGCAGTCCTCCCTGTCACAGAGGGGTGATCCCCACTTCCTGAAGGAATAACCCTGATCATCATCCTGCGTGCCACACCGCTTCACGCCACAGTGCTCTTCTGGTTCCGTACCTCTTTCTGTTGCGCAGGGGCAGTCCCCACTCTTCTTACGGACATCCCATCACCATGCTCCTCCACAGAAGCCTCTGTCTCATGAAATAATATTCAATTGCCTGTATCCACGGCCGCCACAGTCTGATGTGTGTTTTTCAAAACATGTTTAATGACGCTGGGAGGTGTAAATGTGTAATGCCCCTGCGAATGTGGTTATTAAGCAAACCAAATGTGCTGATCAAATTCGAAATGCGTCGTATTGGATTTTAAGAAAAGTAAGTGGGCTTGGGCAGTCCACGTTACCACAAGGGATGGTGACCGGTGGTCGAGGCTAATTTACGAGCGTAGCAGCCAAAGGAGGGAAAACGCTCGAGGGTACATCCACAGAAGAGAAAGGGCAATGGGCTCATCTCTTGTGCCGGAGCTGTATGGATTTTTGCATTGCGTGAACATGTATGTATGTTGAACTTCTTTCGCCATCTGTGCATGAGGGTTGGCAGTGGCTTGTAGTGCTCTTCATCCAGCAGTGGATAGATTATGGCTGATGATGAGTAAGAAGCAAGAGTCGACGTGGGACCATAAAGTGAGAGACCTATCTTTGTACATGCGAAAGAGCCACTTCGTCGTTGCTTACTGATATGCAAAGTAACTGAAATAATGACTTAAAGCTTTCGTGACTGCAGGAATCCATATTCTATTCATATTCTACTAGTTTTTTTGTTATTTTCTTTGAACCTATCTATGTGACTTTACCGAAAGACCCAAAGAAAACTCAAATCATAGCTGGAGTTTAATTTAATATCAAAACCATTACCAGGGCAACATCATTCAGTAGTAATTGAGACATTTCTACCTTTCACAGTTACCAGTATTAAGCGAGAACTAGTAATAGGCTTACAAAAATTGTAACCATATCACATTCATTAACTCTTATTGCTTGGTTATATGTTTGTCTCTGTCATGGGCGGTGCTAACGTAACTTCATATTCATGATTATTAGCATATATTCCTTGCAGAGAATGGTTGGGTGATGCAGAAAAATCTCTCGCGGAAAAGGCATCCTAATCACATTTTTACCCATGAAGCCTCGCACCTCTGCACCAGCAGTGCAACAGCATCAGGTGTACTTGTTTCCCCATCCCTTAATTTGTTCTGTTTTTCTCCAAAGCTGGAGAAGTGTGCGCAGGACCTGGGAGCCACCTCCAAGACGGTGGGCTCCTCCATGGCACAGGTGATGACGGCAGCTTCCCAGGGCAACGAGAACTACACAGGTGCGGTCCACCTCACCCGCACGCTCCCGACGCACGACGAGACCGCGACGCGCCAGGATTCGCGTGTGTCGGACACGGTTCAACAAAAATTCTTGCTCCGCCACCCGCTCGCAGCCTGGCCGTGCCGCGTTGCTTTCGGCGCTCCGTGTGCAACCGCGAGCGCCTCGCCCCCGGCACGCGTGTGTATCCCCGACGCAGGCATCGCGGCGCGCGACACGGCGCAGGCCCTCAAGCAGCTGGCGGCAGCGGCGAGAGGCCTGGCCGCCAACTCGGCCGACAAGCCGACGCAGGAGGCCGTGTTGGAGTCTGCGCGCGACCTCATGGACAAGGCGTCGCTCTTCATCCAGGAGGCGAAGAAGGCCGTGGTGCGGCCCGGGGACCCCATCAACCAGCAGAGGCTGGCCCAGGTCCGACGCTTGAAGTGCTCGGCAGAGAGAGAGAGAGCACAAACATGAAATAGCATGTGTTAGTGTACGCATGTTTATACAGTAATGGTTCAAATTAGATGGGCTTCTCCAGAATGTTTATTAGCCATATGCATGCGGTCCATGGGAGAGATATCTTTCCAACAATTTGTTTGCCGCTATGTGTTCGTTGTGTATGTGTTCACCAGTCAACAATCTATCTTAGCGGTTAAGGAAAATTAAATATGTAGTTTGGATTTAGAAAGAGGGGAGAATCTGGGAGGTGGACGATATGAGGGAGATTTCTCTTGACTTTGGGGGCAGCATGGAAGAATTGACGCCACACCAACTGATTGTCCGAGCGCTCCCATTACGAGAGAGCTAATGCGTGAGATTGGCCGTGTTATGCGTGATTCAAAAGAGTGGATTGAAAATAGGAAGATTTCTTATCTATCACAGAATCATTGTCTAATTGTGGAAATGCTTTAGATTTCCCAGTGTCAGCGTGAGACCATTAGGAAGCCCCAAGTGTACGCGAGTGTAATGCCGTATACATAGGAGTTGTAAACCGTAAATTGTGCAGAGCTTGACAGCAGGGTAGCTTGAGAAAACGGCACGTTTCCCAGAGTAGTGGGAGGGAGCATTGGTTCAGAGGAGTGGGCCAACGCCCGTAGCTCCTTAACCACTGTCCTTCCTTCCACCCCTCCAGCCTCTTTCTGGAATCTTATTGGACGAACGGGCTTGTGTGTGTGTTCCCGTGGGGCCTGGGGGGCACAGGTGGCCAAGGCGGTGTCTGGCGCGCTGGGCAAGTGCGTAGGCTGCCTGCCCGGGCAGCAGGACGTCGACACGGCTCTGCGTAGCCTCGCCGACCAGAGCAAGAAGCTGCTGTCCGACACGGTGAGCAAAAATCACCTTCGCACAACCTTCCGGATCAAATTGCGGCGTTATTTGCTATAATCTTCTAGGGTTCGTTTGACAGTCAAAAAAATGTAACGTGCTTCACATTTACGGTCATTGATTTATTTTTTTATTAGGGCACACATTACCGTAGCAGCGAGTCGAGATTTATTGCGAATGCATGTAAAATTAATGCTCCGTAATGCATGTGGACCCTGTTACGGTGTTCCCTTTACTGTTTGACCGCAGTCTCTTCTCCGAGCCTTTGGACGTTGATGGTGCCTCCGTCCGCACCGTTGTTTTATTAACCGTTGACCGGTGTCGTCGTCGTCGTCGTTGTTGCTGCCAGATCCCGCGCAGCGGCAGCAGTTTCCAGGAGGCGCAGGGCAACCTGAACGACGCGGCGGCTGGGCTCAACCTGTCGGCCAGCGAGCTGGTGCAGGCCTCGCGCGGCTCCAGCCAGGAGCTCTCCTCCGCCTCGCGCAAGTTCGGCAACGACTTCTCGCGCTTCTTGGATGCCGGAATCGACATGGCCGGGCAGGCAAAGGTGCGTATTGCCCCCACATAGCCGTGCTGCTTGTCGGCGAATGCAGTGAGGTTCTTGTATCTTACTCGGTGACGATGCTAAAAGCCCACACGAGGCCAAGGCTTGTGTGACTAGAATGGACTAGTCCAAGGCTTTTGTTGTTTATTAGGCCTTACAAGGCTTGTGATGGTGATTTAACCAAAATATATTTAGCAAAAGGAAAAATTGGCAGGAACATTGATAGCGTTAATAAAAGTGGTTGTGGCAATGGACAATCGGCCTTTGTAAAACATGGCTTGCAAGCAAAAACACTCGTGCCGATGGGGGTTTGTGTGGGCCTTCGTCTCTCATGCTGACGCACAGACGAAGGAGGACCAAGTGCAGGTGGTGGGCAACCTGAAGAGTATCTCCATGTCGTCGTCCAAGCTGCTGCTGGCAGCCAAGGCCCTCTGCGTCGACCCCAACGCCCCGAACGCCAAGAACCAGCTGGCAGCTGCTGCACGGTGCGGAGCTACCGAGACCTGTCCACGCTTCACTCGGTTACTAAAAATAGAGCTGGGATATCCAATTATTTAAGTAATCAAATGCTCTACCTGTCATCGGTTCAATTACTGGATTCATCGGATAGCAGAAAATAGTTGGGGCAAAAACACGTCACCCCGTTTCCACGTGTGTCGCTTTGATGGGAGGTGATTGGCGGGGCTTGGCAGTGTCAGTGGCGTCATCAGCTACATCACGCCGTGACTTGCAGGGGGTTTCCTGCCTTCGAGAGGCAAGATGTTGCGGTGACCGCCATTTTTTAACGGGCCCCCGAGTTGTCGACCACAAAAAAGTAGTCGATAAGCAACTTCAGTGACTAATCATCCCAGCGGTAATTAACGATTCTCAATACGCTGCTGTTGAGGTGCATGGAAAATAAATTTACGTATTAAACAGACAGCAGATAACTCCAGTTTAAAATAAACGTATTTGATGCTAATGAGACCCTGAAGTTCAAACCAAATGCTGCAGGAAGACATTGGTCTGGAAGACCCAAAGGCCAATGGACAAAAACATTTGATTTGATTTTACGTGAAGTAAAAGACTGCCTGTCCATGCACTATATATTTGTTTATTACTAATAGACACATTGCCTAATTTACTGAGCGTATGAAAACGTAACGCTTGAAGAGCTGCTTAAAGCTATGTGAGAGGAAATAAAAAGTAACGATGTGAAACTAAACTTTAGGTTGGTGATTCATCTTTCCAACCTTATATCCATATGAGGATGCAGAGTATAACAAACACTCGTTACATATTAATTATAGTAGTGTTACCTAGACTTATTTAAACCAAGTTAGGGCCAATTGACCCAGACATAGGCATGGAAAACTGGCACATAAATGGAAGTTAACCGTTGGAGATTGTGTGTATTTATTGAGTGCCTATGAAGGCACTCAATTAATCAGTGCCTTCCTTAGAATGAGCACAGCAATAAAGAGAGAAGCAGCATCAAATTAAAAGTAAATCCAACACTATATATGTAAATGCATGGCTACGTTAACAAGAATATGCACCAAACGGTGACATCATTTAACCGTGTACGAGCGAGTACGGGTTTCCCCCGTGTCGCACTCATTACACACCAAGTGCTGACCTTGCTAATTTCGTCAAGGACTGTAAATCGTCACGCAAAACTCCGGTCATCATGCCTACATACGTATATATGTCTCACAACGGCTGCCGTGCGATGCCTTGTGTTTTGCGCAGTGCTGTGACGGACAGCATCAACCAGCTGATCACCATGTGCACGCAGCAGGCACCGGGCCAGAACGAGTGCGACAACGCCCTGCGCGAGCTCGAGGTAGGGACCGCCGCCCTGTGCGGCAAATCACTCAAATATACAAATAAAACTAAACTTACTTTTATATTTCCAGGTAAAGCCCACTGAGCTATTAGCTTCTTTTTCAGAAACGACCTTGCCACAAATGATAGCTCAACAAAGTGGCTCATCAAATGGAAATTTAGAGCAGCCAAATAATCTAAATAATCTTCTGTCACCGCCGCTACTGTGGTTCCTATTCCTATTTAGTTCACTCCCACCCCACCACCCCGATATTTCCACCCTATAAGAGACTGTTGCGTCCTTAGACACACCGTGTTCAACTACCATGCGGCTGGTCACTCCTCTATCTGCTTCTTTCCTCGCACTCCTCGAATTGGGAGGCGTACCCTCCCATCATCTCTATTCCTGACTTTGTATAACCTTGCTCAATTCAAGGTACATTAACTGTTATCTATGACAACTTAAATTGTGCTCTTTATTTCTTGGCCACTTGCCATTTGGCACCTTTGGGCCTGTGCTCAGCAAACCGTGAATTGCAGCCTAGGCTTGTAACTTGACGGTGCGTGTGTGCGTCAACCTCGCAGTGCCCGTCACCACACAGTTCACTCATAATTTTTGTTTGCGACACGAGCGATGAGCTTTGAACGTGTGTTTTTGTTGTCGTCGTCGTTGAGAGACCGCGCAATGGATGTGTTTCAGACGGTCAAGGGCATGCTGGACAACCCAAGCGAGCCTGTCAACGACCTCTCTTACTTCGAGTGCATCGACAGTTTGATGGAAAATTCCAAGGTGTGGAATCGTCTCACTTGTTTAAAACATTTTCGTTTAACCTGTCGGTAAAGCCATGCCTTGAAAGTGGTTCTATCCTTGATGTGGTGGTGGTGGTGTCTGCGGCTGCTCGTCCCACGGCAGGTTCTGGGTGAGGCCATGCAGGGAGTCTCTCAGAACGCTAAGACGAGCAACCTGCCTGCATTTGGGGAGGCCATCAGCTCGGCCTCCAAGGCCCTCTGTGGGCTCACAGAGGCCGCTTCACAGGTGACTCCTCCGTGAAGCTTGCACCACTACGAATATTGAATCAACAATATAACTATCATAATTATCATTATCATCACCGCTGCTTCTGGCAATTCATCTCTGCACCTGAGTTTGTGTTATATTTTCGTATATACGATGGGTTTTCTCTGAGGTATTCTATTTCCTCTAGATTAGAAACATGCAAAAAGGAATTTGTTTGTAGGTGGCAAGCAGAACCAACTTTAAAAGTCTTGAGGATAAGTGAGGTCTACTTTGTCCAATATCTCGTATACTTGCCATTGCATCTTCAGATTTCACTGTGACATTAAACTTCATTTTGAACACGTCTAAATACTTTTTCTCAACTATTTGCCATTTTCTACTCGTGAAGTCTACCAGAAGCCACAAACCATCTCCCCCCCCACCCATTCATCCTACCCCCGATCGCTGAGTGAATGTTGCTTCTGCTCCGCAGTCCGCGTACCTCGTCGGCGTGTCCGACCCCAACAGCCAGGCGGGACAACCGGGCCTTGTGGACCCGGGCCAGTTTGCCCGCGCCAACCAGGCCATCCAGATGGCCTGCCAGAACCTGGTGGACCCCGCCAGCAACCAGTCTCAGGTAAGTGGCCCGCCATTGTGTTTGTGCGCGTGTGTGTGTGTGTGTGCGAGGAGCGGTAGTGTAGCGGTTCGTAGCAGGCGACCCGGGTTCGATTCCTACTTACGGTCAAAACAAGTGACGAGTATCTGAACTGGTCCGGGCCTCCCCTAGGTAGACTCAGCCCCAAATTAGTACCTGGAGTGGTGTGATTACGTTGCCACTAGTGAGACAAAGGCGGCCAGGGATGGCGCTGGCGACACACCCCCGCATGTGCCGTGTTGGCCTTCATAAGTGATCACCAGCAGCAATTGCCCCTACAGTCTGTAAAGGCTGTCCAGGGGATCTTTCTCTTTTGTGAGGAGCGGTAGTGTAGTGGTTAGCGTGCTGTTCTACGAACCTGGCGACCCGAGTTCGATTCCCGCTTGTGGTCAATATCAGTGACGATTATCTGAACCGTTCTTGGGCCCTCCCCTAGGTTAACTCAGCCTCAAATGAGTACCTGGTGTAGTGTGTCAAAATTGCCACGAGGAAGTCAAAGGTGGTCAGGTGTGGTGCTGACCACCCCACAGCCTCGTGTTTCGTGCCATCCTTCATCGGTGCTCGTTAACGGCACTTGCCCCCCCTAAATTATTTCAGGCTAAAAGGAGGGATCTTTGATTTAACCACCACAGGCCACCCTCCAGCCCAGCTGCTGCTCAATCACCAACCACAGTGAGAATAATAAATAAATTAAACACAATGTACAGTAATGTATTTAACACAATAACACAGTGCCACCCACCAACATGTGTCAAAGCTGCGTGCCAACATTTGTTGGGAAGCAAGTGTGGTGTGATGGGTACAACTTGTTGTCTGTTTTTTGTGTGCAAGGTTTGAATTTAATGGTACCGTTAATTATATATTACATGGTTACTTGGTTGATATGTTTCACCCACGTCTCCATAGAAAAAGAGATGACTAGTTTAAAGGACTTTTACTTTAGATAAAGTACATTACGTAATCAAATTGAACTAATGACATTCTTAGGCCATCACCTATTTCTGCGTCGTTTTGTACACAAAGCAAAACACGCCGTTGGTTGTGACGTTTCTGGCCAGTGCCCACGGTCACGTTAGGCTTGGTAGACACGGGCCTAAGCTAATCGTGGCCACACACGTGTGACCCATGGCCGCACGCGTGCAGGTGCTGTCGGCGGCTACCATCGTGGCGAAACACACGTCGGCGCTGTGCAATGCCTGCCGCCTGGCATCGTCCAAGACCTCCAACCCCGTGGCCAAGCGGCACTTTGTGCAGTCGGCAAAGGAGGTGGCCAACAGCACTGCCAACCTCGTCAAGACCATCAAGGTGCGTGTGTGCGGTGCGACCTGCTGCGGGCCGCCTGCCTTCCACACTCGTCTGCCGCCTCGGCGCCATGACTCGAAAGGCCAGGGCTCTGAATCGACCTCTCGTAACCTCGCAGGCACTGGACGGAGATTTCTCGGACGGGAACCGGGAGAAGTGCCGTGCCTCCACGGTGCCGCTCATCGAGGCCGTGGAGAACTTGACGACGTTCGCCTCCAACCCCGAGTTCTCCAGCATCCCCGCGTCCATCAGCGAAGAGGTGAACGCTTTCTCCCCCCCGGCCTTCTGCGTCTGCGAAACGCGGCACTGCGGTTTTAAAGCGGCGCTCGGTGCCCTCCCGGAAGCAGCATCGACTTTGCCGCTGACAAGACGGCGCCGATGATATACAGGTGTTGGAATTCACAGGCGTGGGATGGGAGTGCTTTAAAGAATGTCGCGTGTTTGATGGGCACACAGAGCGAAGGGTTGTCACTTGGGCTTGTAACAATACATCGGTTCAGCATTTAAAATGTATTCTCATGGTTATAATACCAGTGTCAAGTCGTGCGAGCGAGAATCTATTATTTAAGAGTCGTCCAAACGATTTGGTAATATTACACATAGATGAATGGAGTAAACAAAACTGTACAAATGAAAAATAGACACGAGACAGAAAAAACAAGACCAATAGAATCGTAAGGCCGAATCATTCAATCACTGGGGTGTGAGTTGGGGGTGGGGGGGTTGATTTTTTACAGGCGGCTTTTTTCTTCACAAAGGTGATAAAACGGAGACCTTTTATGGTTACAAAATAAACATCACTCACGTTGATTACACAAGTCGGACATCTTGTGTAAACTTGGAAAACCTGTTTTAGATACTTTGCCAAACTTTTATGAATGTGGAATTGGTGTGATGACACCGAGCATAATTTAACCGAAATGTTTTAGCGTTCTAATGTGAAGAATCACTCGTCTTCTTGGTTCTTTCGGTAAAGTCACGTAGAAGGGAAATAATAAAATAATAAAAATAAAACATAATAAAATAATTCTCACGACGTTTTGGCCACAACGCAAGCAGCCGTCTTCAGGTGGAGAACAGACTCTGTCCTTTCGACAGACCTGTTCTCCACCTGAAGACGGCTGCTTGCGTTGTGGCCGAAACGTTGTGAGAATTATTTTATTATGTTTTATTTTTATTATTTTATTATTTTCCTTCTACGTGACTTTACCGAAAGAACCAAGAAGATGAATCCCTGCAGTCACGAAAGCTTTAAATTGATAAATCACTTTCAACCTCATGTCAGTTAACCTAGCACTCAGCTTCCACGCATATCTCCACAAAAAGAGCATTTTTTTTTTCTGTTGCATTTGCATCTAGCAGAGTGGCAGTTACTATCAGAACGTGTTCTGGACCTCCAATAGGTCGACTCAGCCTTAAATTGAGTCCCGAGTGTTTTATATGCCATCCTCACCCAACCTCTCATGGCCCATACCAGCCTCAAGAGCATCTTGCTAACAGTCCTTGCCCCAACGGTCCATTGAACTAATTAACCAATTTTAAATAATATTTTCTGTGACCTGGCAATGAGATGCTCCGTAACAATCCCAAAACGTTATAAAGAGAAGCTGGTTTTCTGCCGTGGAGTGCTAATGTCCGACTGCCGCCCCCACGCATTCACCACTTGACACCACCACCCCCACCTCTCAGGGTCGCCGTGCTCAAGAACCCATTGTGGCTGCCGGCAAGACGATGCTGGACAGCTCGTCAGCACTGATCGGCACGGCGCGCTCGCTCGCCGTAAACCCCAAGGACCCACCGACCTGGTCCAAGCTGGCCGGCCATTCCCGCTCCGTGTCCGACTCCATCAAGAAGCTCATCACCTCCATCAGGTGCTGCCCTCCGCGCGCTCGATCTTGCATCTCCGCCACCGCCATACTGTTCACATCGTCACGTTCCTGAGTGTCCGGCACTCACCGTGCGTTCTGTGTTGTCACTTGGCGGGCAGGGATGGCGCCCCCGGGCAGAAGGAGTGCGACAAGGCCATCGCCGTGCTAGACGACTGCCTCCGCGAGCTGGACCAGGCCGGCCTGGCGGCCGCCAGTCAGAGCCTCGCCCCGCGCGAGGGCGTCTCTGTTGAGGTGGGGTCCTGCACAGCCATCCCGCAAACGCCACCCGTCATCGTAAAAAAAAACATTTTTGAACCATAGCATTGCTTTTTTAATAGGTAAAGGTTGAGAGGTAATTGTGGCACGCGCCGTTGATGCCACCACACCTCATCATCGCTTTCCACTAAAGCTTTTAGTTGTTTTGAAGTCTATACCGGACCTTCGTGGTGCATCTCACCACCACCACCACTGCCACCCTTTGGCTTCCCCATAGTCGCCAACCGCTGGGTGCCACCTAAACTGTCCTTCCGGTGACCTGCACTACTCCATCCTGTACACTCGTCCCACCCATCAACAAATATTGACAGCTCATAGTTTGAGGTTACACTTACGGTATTATGTCTTAAAATGTTGCCGTGCACCTTTGTGGAAAATGTTAGCCCATCATCGTGTTCGTCGTTGCCAGTGTTGTTAATGACAAACGTGGCGAGATCATTTCTTTGTTGTGCGCTACTGCCAACCCTTGGACATCATTTCCCATGTAAGTGGCACAAGTGATGTTTCTGCATGTGGCCTTTTGTCATACGGAGAGGGGGTGGCATTGCACAGAGGCTTGGCGAGCTGATTCGACTTAATTGCGAGACAGTTCCACAGCGGCTCCCGTGCCGCACGACAGGGCTTTTTTTAGCATTCAACGCGTGTTTGCGATCCCGTTGGGGAGACGCGTGCGTGACGGAGTTCGGTGGTCGGCGGTCGTCTTGACGCGTGCAGGGCCTGCAGGAGCAGCTCATCTCGACCGTGCAGCAGATCAGCAACACCATCGACCCCGTGGCCACGGTGGCGCGAGGGGAGGCCTCGCAGCTCGGGCACAAGGTACCGCTCGCTGTGTGCCCTTCGAAATCGTACCCTGGAAAAAAACTTGACACCGCGCCGATATATATATATTTTTTTATATATACAACCTGTGTTAGTATACTCTTTGGTTCTTTCGGTAAAGTCACGTAGGTAGAAAAAATATATATATATCACGACGTTTCGATCGCAACACAAGCGGTCGTCCTCAGGCGGAAAAAACAATCCAGCAGTGTTAGCTTCGTATCATCTCCCCACAGGTGGCCAAGCAATGAACTCAACAATTCGCTTCTGTTACTTTCTTAATCCGCCTATTCTCAAATGAAGCCTGCTTCCTGGACAGTGAGATTTTGTGGATTATCATGTTTTTTTCAGGACATCCATCTGTTAATTAAACAACGATTTCTGACTCACCACCCCCACCCCCCAATCCCTTCCCCTGCCACTACCTCAACACCTCCCCCCCCCCACCGCTCCCCCTTCATCGTCGTCGGATGCCGCGCAGGTGTCCCAGATGGCGAGCTACTTTGACCCGTTGGTTTTCGCCGCGGTGGGCATGGCCTCCAAGTCCTTGAGCCACCAGCAGCAGATGAACCTCCTGGACCAGACGAAGACCCTGGCGGAGTCGGCGCTGCAGCTGCTCTATGCAGCCAAGGAGGCTGGAGGGAACCCCAAGGTACGTTCGCCATTTTTTAGCATCCCTGAGATTGAATGTGCAGTTGTCACTGGACTAGACTTGGGCTATTAACCAACCTGCTACACTTGAAGACTCGGGTCAGTTAGGGGTGTGTGGCTTACACCCAGGGTCACGGCAATGCGTCATCGATTGTCTTCGTCATTAATCATCCGCCCGGCCGGCACAGGCGTTGAATGCCCACGAGGCGATCCAGGAGGCGAGCCAGATGATGCGCGAGGCCGTGGACGACCTGACGGCCACGCTGAACGAGACGGCGAGCGAGCTGGGCATGGTCAGCGGAATGGTGGATGCCATCTCGCAGGCCATCGGCAAGGTGAGCGCCGCCCTCTGCCACCCGACACTCGCGCCTTCCACTTGCTCGATGCCAGAGCAAGCCGGGGCATGGCAAGGTTTCTTTCCGCCAACGTAGACGAGGGCTTTATGGGAAATCTCGTGTTGTTGATTGGTCCTGTATGATGCGGATGTGATGTGCGGGTTGGGGTTGTCTCCGGTGGCGCTTGTAGATGGACGAGGGGACGCCCCCGGCGCCCGAGTACTCGTTTGTGGATTACCAAACGACCATGGTGAAGACGGCCAAGGCCATTGCCGTCACGGCGCAGGAGATGGTGGGAAACGCGCGCAGATTCACACACGAGTTATCTAAAAAATGTACACAAAATATTTCTAATGTTTGATGGTATTTAATCTGAAACATCGATACTTTTATAAATAAAAAAAAGTAAAACCACGGCAGTAGATCGAAACATTTTAAAACAGCTTTTCTTAAAATTTTACGCAATCTCAAAATGTACTTGGAACATGAAAATAATGTACAATGACGACCTCTAAAGTTTGTGGGGTATCTAAAAAAAACAGACGTGCAACATATCAAAACCCGACGCAGCGTTTGAGAAACTGACACGGTTGACTTCACCGGCCTGTGGATGGGGGGGTGGTTGTTGCGCTCGCCATCATTGTGACACATTCCTGCTGCTCTCCACCAGGTGAGCAAGTCCTCGAGCCGGCCAGAGGATCTGGGATCGCTGGCCAGCCAGCTCACCACGGAGTACGGGAACTTGGCGCAGCAGGGACGGCCGGCTGCAGCTTCCGCCGACAACGAGGAGGTATCGCCGCTCGCTCGTGCTGTAACCCTGACCCCAACCTGTACCCCGACTCCAACCTTTTTCCTTATCGAGACACTGATCCTTACCCTATCACCAATCCTGACCCCAATCCTTTCCCTGACCCTGACACCAATCCTGACCCCAAACCTATCCCTTACTCTGACACCTATCCTGACCCCAACCCAACCCTTACCCTGACCCCAACACTCATCCTGACCTCAACGCTTACCGTGATCCTGACACCGATCCTGACCCCAGCCCTTACCCCGACACTGGCTCGGACCCAAACCCAATTCTAAACACGACTCTTACCCTGACCCTCACATTCTACCCGAGCTATAACATGGCTGGAGATGATGGTAGTTGAGCTGGTTGTTGAGTTGGTTGTGGTGTCATGTTCATGATGGTGATCAACTTGGTGGTTAAGTTAATGTTTGCGATTGATTTCACATTGATGGCGTTGGTGTTTGTGTTTATGGTGTTTCGGTTGAAGGTGTTGCTTGTAGTGGTAGTGATGGTAGTGAATAAGCAAATAAACCACAGTACGCATCCCCACATATATATTTAGTTCATCGACCAATGAGCCTTTAGAGAAATTATTTTCCAGTAACTTTAAACAGGAACATTTTGGACTAGTTTTGCCTTTTTGAGTCTCTCATCCGAGTCAGGCCTGTCAGCGATGATGGTGCGAGTAGCAGCAGGGTTTGATCATGGCGGTTGTGTTGATCTGGATGTTACTTTGGGTGATCGTGTTGGTTGTGCTGGTGATAATGGTAGCTTGGTCATTGTCACTGGTTGCGTTATTAGTGCTGCTGCGCTAGACTGCATCGTTCTCCGTGTTCTTCTCCTCCCAGGTCGGCCACCAGATCAAGCACCGCGTGCAGGATCTGGGCCACTCTTGCGTGCTGCTCGTGCAGAAGGCAGGCGCCTTGCAGTGCAGCCCCACAGACGGCTTCACCAAGCGAGACCTCATCGACTGTGCTCGCAAAGTCTCCGAGAAGGTACTTTATATCGTTCACAGCGCCATCATCGTCGTCATTGGGATTTTTTATGTTATGGTCATTATCATCATCAGCATCGTCATCAACACCATCATAACTATGGTCATTGTCAAGCACCTCATAATTCTGGTCAACACCATCATCAGAATCATTACCGTGAAAATCGTTGACATCATTGACATGACCACGAAAGGAATTTCCCTGTCCATGGTTTGTATTTTTCCGTTTTTTCTATCTGACTAAATGTTCCCATCACTGCTGCCTCGGCCGCCCGCAGGTGTCGATGGTGCTCGCGTCACTTCAGGCCGGGAATCGCGGTACACAGGCCTGTATCACGGCCGCCAGCACCGTGTCTGGAATCGTGGCCGACCTCGACACCACCATCATGTTCGCCACCGCCGGCACACTGCACGCTGAAAACAACGAGTCCTTCGCCGACCACCGGTAAAGCAACGGCAGCGCGGTTGGATCCGCTGCCTCTCTGGAGGCCACTTGTTGAAATCCGTCTCGTGAATTCTTCTTCTGCTTTAAATCCCTTGGTTTTCTTGACCAATGGAGCACGTCTGCTCTAGCTCTTGCTGCCTCAATGCTTCACTGTTGCCTCCAAAGGTCTGCTCTGCTCTTCTTCTTTTCCAATCTTTGTTCCACTCATCCTCGCTCGTTTCTTTCATGTTGATCGCCCAGCCGATGTATGGTTCTGCCACGTGCTGAACCCGCTGCACGCAAGGACCCGGATTAATCACTGGTGGCTCAGTCCCAGAATTCAATTCACGATCTCCGCCGTGTAGGCTCCATTCACCGACCACTGACCGACTTGCTTATCAATGCTTCCGAAACAGCTTGTAGCCCGCTGCTGCAGTTCCCGCTGCTGTTGCTCACACACCTTGTCTGACCTTGGTCCCTGGTCGAACTCAATCCCCTGCAGGGAGGGAATCCTCAAGACAGCCAAAGCGCTGGTGGAGGACACGAAACTGTTGGTGGCGGGCGCCGGCGCCACGCAAGAGAAGCTGGCGCAGGCCGCACAGTCGTCGGTGGGGACCATCACCCGCCTCGCCGACGTCGTGAAGCTGGGCGCCGCGAGCCTCGGCTCCGAGGACCCTGAGACCCAGGTGCCAATCGCGGTTCATCCGTCCCAGCCGACTGCGGGTGGTGGTGGTGACGCGCGGGGGGTGATGTTGTTGCTGATAGTTTGCTGATAAAAGGCACAAAGTGACGACGACATAATCATTGTGGTCGTATGTCGGTTGGCAGGTGGTTCTCATTAATGCCGTCAAGGATGTGGCCAAGGCCCTGGGAGACCTCATCAGCGCGACAAAGTCCGCCGCCGGAAAACAACCGGACGACCCGGCCATGCACAACCTGAAAGGAGCTGCCAAGGTGACCCAATCACACAGCCCGCACCGCTCCACCTGTGTCACACACGTCGATTGTACTGCTGTGTGGCTTACCCCCACCAGCAATCCTATCGGTTGTCATGTTTCAGGATCGCAATTCCATTCGAGAATCTATTATTTTTGTGTACTTTTTTTACCTTCTTGTTTTTACCGTTTATACTTTGTCTCATCGTGTAGACGTAATTTGGTTGTAGAATTCCATCATAATACTAGAACTGATGTGTATACTGCCGTTCGTCAGTCTGCTGCAGGATGAGGGCCTTACAGAGACGGTTTAAGGAGCAGTCGTTTGTTATTTATCTGCGAGCAGATCATGGTGACGAACGTGACGTCGCTGCTGAAGACGGTGAAGGCCGTGGAGGACGAGGCCACCAAGGGCACACGCGCCCTAGAGGCAACCATTGAGTGCATCAAGCAGGAGGTCATGGTACGGGCACCGCCACTAGCATCGGCTGAAACCCCACAGTAGCCTCACAATCGTGTCAAATCACCGAGATTGTATCAGATGTCGTCAGATCTCGGCAACCGAGCAAGGTTGAGGCTGGTTATTCCTTGGATGTGAGACTGCCTGAGAATGTCGGGGGTATTGTCACGCAAGGTTGTTTTAGGCTTGCACTTGTGAAGTGCCACGAGATGGCAGCGCAGCTTATCTGTGCTGCGCCTATAGTGTTACAACCTCGCATGCGCGTGGGTTTGCTTCAGGCACTCCATATTCCTCTCCCAAAACACACCCATCGTTCATGGAATTGGCCGAACGTCATAATGGAGGACGTCCCTGAACAAGGCTCTTAAGACTCTGAGGCATTTCGCATTTTATAGAAAACCCAATACACAAAAAAACGTGAACTAATGCAAATTTGAATGAGGTCGTTGTGGAAAATGGGCTGGAGATCTCTCACGGATCAGGTCGGTTGATTTAACACTTGAGCGAGAGTAGAAACGTGGGAATTTACAATTGCAAGTCGCACGCTCTGCGCGGTTCAGTTCGTCGTCGTTGTCAACGTCGTTCTTCTGCATTGCTAACGCATCGTCACGACGACGACGACGGTGGTGGTGGTGGTGGCGGCGCTCGCCGGCAGATGTTCGAGACGCGCGAGCCACCCCAGAAGACGGCGTCACCGGAGGACTTCATCCGCATGACGAAGGGCATCACCCTTGCCACAGCCAAGGCGGTCGCTGCCGGAAACTCGTGCCGCCAGGAGGACGTCATCGCCACCGCCAACCTGAGCCGCAAGGCCGTGTCCGAGATGCTGGCCGCATGCAAGGTACACGCATTCTCTCCGGCGCGCCGCGCGCGTTTGTCTGTGTGTGTGCGCGTGCGGCTCGGCTACATTAAATGTCGGCTCCCGCGTAGTCATTGAAGTGAGTGTTTTTCTCCCCCGTCATTTGCCGACACGCGTAGATTGCCGGGCAGCTCGAGGTCAAATCGCTGAGCCCTTGCTTCGGAGAACCTGGGTGCAGATTCAGGTTTGAGACCACCTGTGATTAAACTGGGTTCTCAAGTGTAGCGAGTTAATGGTCTTATTCTGGTCACTAGTGACCTCAAAAAAACATCGTATTAAATGTTTTTCGGCATTAACCAATGGTCGCACAAAAGATATAAGTAATTTGGCTTTTACAATTCATTAGATAAATTTCGAACTTTGATAATTAACAATATCGGTTCGATCACGACGCGACCAACATTTCTCTGTAGCGGACAAAAAGGTCACTTGAAGAGATATCAGAATCCCCTTCCTCGGGCCGTTATCCAACACAGTGAAGCACTGCTTCGCGAGAGCCTCGAGTGGACACTTTGATCTTTAGAACTGCTTGTTGTGTTTCGTTTGTTGTCCTTCCCCCGCACCTCCAATTAGCACGGCTGGCTATGTATGGTGCGAAAGAAGTTCAACATAGATGGCATGACACCGATGGGACGCTTTGAGTCAAACTAAGAAAGCGAGAACTTGAGTACGGGAAGGTTTTGAGGACCCTGTGTTGGATGATCCCCTGCGCTGTCTGTAGCGCAAGAGTTGTGCGCTGCTTGTCGCCGTTGTGCTGCCCTGCTGAGCCTGTGATTAACTTCCTCTCTCCTCCCGTTTGTGCCTCTCCCGTGTGTTCCGCTCGCTCTCACTGGCAAGATGGACTGGGTACTGCTCGCACGCCTCTAGGCAAACACAGCAGCTGTGCGCTGCATCTCCGTGTACATTTAACGGGGGCATCAGCAAGGGACTCTGGCTTGGCATGTGACAGAAATGCTTGTGTGTGTGTGTGTTTATGTATGTGAGAGGGTATGTGTGTAAGTATAAGTGAGTGTGGATGTGTGTGATTGGGGAGCAGTGTCCTAGAGGTTAGGGCACTGTGTTACGAACCCGGTGCACCTTCGTTAAATTCTATGCAGTGGCTGACCAAAAGTGACGCGAGTGTGATGACACTGGTTCTAGGCCTCTACTAGGTCGAATCCACTTTGAATGACTTCCTGATGCAGAGTGGAAACATGAGCACCTAGGTGACAAAGGCAGCCTGGCGTGGTGTTGGCCACCATCTCCTCTTGTACCCCGTGCCAGTCTAAATAAGTGCTCAATAATAGCACTTGTCCCCCCTTCCCCCCCAGCATGCTGTTTAAGGCTATATCCAGGGGGATCTTTTGTATTTTTGCGTGCAAGTGGATATGATTGTAACGCGCTGTGTGTATGCGTAAGGGCAACACAGACACCATCTGCGTTTGACACGTGCTTGAATAAGTGGGCGTCATGTGTTTAATGCACAAGGCGAGTGGGCTGTGCCTACATGAAAAGTATAATTGCCTAAAGCTCCGTTGAATCCACTCGCACCCCACTGGTCTCTCTGATGAGCTGCGGAGAGCTCCCTCTAAGCTGTGCTTGCTTACAGTTTCCGCTTTGCATTTTGATCTCCAGCTCACAACTAAATTATTGTCGGGTGCACCGTGTGCCCCTGTGAAACTGTCATAACATTGATTTAATATTTTTTTTATAAAACATCAATCATTAGCATAACAACACAGGATTTTTTCCATAATACAGGATCTGCATGTGTAAGCAGTTGGACATTTGTTGTATTTGCTTTTGTAGATGTATTTTTCATTTAACACGCAGGTTTTCACAGCCGATATTATGATCCAGAATTGATTTTTGTTTTGGCCACGTCACAATCCGACTTAATTTGTGTCGTTAAAAACCCTCCACCGCCTGACGCAGCCGAAATATGAATCGTCAAGCGTACCGAGCGTTTCAGAACCTGCCAATTGTTATTGTTTCAGCTCGACGCCGGTAAGTCAGGAGAACAATCCTCACAACCAATGTTCGCAATATACCCTTTAAAGAAGCTCCTCCTGAGACGGCCTCTAATCTAGCCCCTGCCACCATCGCAGGGCAACGCGTTTGGCTCTTGTATCCCCATGATCGCTGTCGTCGCGTGTCGCTCACCGTGTTGGTATTGGCGCGTCTCTGCCCTCAGCAAGCCGCGTTCCACCCAGAGGTGGCAAGCGACGTGCGAGCGCGATCCCTGCGCTACGGCAAGGAGTGCGCCAACGGCTACCAGGCCCTGCTGGAGCACGTGCTGCTGGTGAGCCCACTGCGCCAGCCGCAAGGCTACGGCTCCCCCCCCTCCCCCTCGCCTGCCATGGCATCGTCATCGTCGTTATTGTCGTCTTTATTTGGGACGTAACCATTCGTCGCTTCAAATTATACAAGCATCCAATTGTGTCAAAAGTCATTATTTCCGATTCATATTGCATGTAGTTTTTTTTCCCCGTTATGAATTCTGTCAATTATGAATGCTATGGATCTACACTCACCACGAGGGCCAAGGAAAGAATGGGTTCTTGAGTCACATTGTGACAGTTTATTCATTGACTTGGGTGGGCAAGACAAGTGTGGTGTGATGATGTTAAGCAGTGGTTCCCAAATCAGCAGGGGGAACATCACATGCCAACACATTCACCGCTGACCCCTGATGGACAATGAGTGGAATTATCAGAATCATCATCATCAATGGCATTGTCAACATCGTCAACCATGAGTGTTGTTTATCACCTATATTAATCCAATACAAATCATATTGTGTCCATCCACTTTCCTGACCCACTTTCAGGTTCTTCAAAAACCAACGGCTGACAACAAACACCAGCTGACCAACCTGTCGAAGCGGGTGGCCGGCTCCGTCTCCGAGCTCATTCAGTCTGCCGAGGCCATGAAAGGTGCGTGATTTGGCTGCTGCTCCTGAGTGCAAAGTCACTGCGTGCAACATGGGTGGGATTGTCCACAGCGCTGTGCACCCATCAACCTGACATTGATCCCCCACCACGGCTACTCTTAACTAAACCGTACTGACCAGCGGTGGTGAATTACAATGAAACCCCCCCCCCCCTCATGACTGACATTGTATGGGGAAGCCTTCACTCAGTCGTGAATTGACACATTGATATAAATTATTATGATTATTAGATTTAAATAAGTAAACATAAAAAAATGTATTATTCCATCACCAAAATTAAATTAAATGTCATTCCCATCAACATCTTGGGCCTCTTTGCCCCAATGTTTTCTGGCAGTATTTTTGAAGCATGGTTAACCCTGGACCAGTTTCAACTTTCAAAGACTTATCAGCATGAATTTTGCTGGATTTGCCTCCGGTTGTAGGTTAGATCCATCTATAAACGTGAACACTTGGGACCTCCTCAATTGTAGTGCAGCAGCATTGCACAAGATGCCCTGCAGCACCACAATGCACTCCTTAAGATTTGGCAATGCCAATACCAGAAGCGGTGGCCTGTGCAGAATATTGGTTTAAAGACTGTATAGGTTGGACAGGAGACACGACGAAGAAGTAGAAGATTGCACAAGAGCTCTGCTTGTGTCTCGTGCGCACCGCACGCACCGAGACCCAGTGGGCCGTGACGCGGCCCAGTGGCAAACGCGTGACCGCTTGTTGCACAGGTTGACAGTTGTAGTCCATTGGAACCTCATTTGCCAGTAGCAGAATATGATAATTGGTTTTTTACCCTTTTATCTGGCAACAAAACTGAAACCTTTTTTTTTTTTTACAAGGAGTCATGTTTGCATTGACCACAATACCTGCAGTCGAAATGCAAACAAAAAACATAACTCTGATAATGTATGCACTGTCCTTGAAGTTGATTGGTCCACACCCGAGACAGCTTTTTTAGAGCCTAGTCTCACATGGGTTGGACCATTGGCCGCCCTGATTAATGGGCACCATGGTGGTGAGATGTTAACTAGCTCGCCTGGAATACAGGAGGTTGTCGATTCGATCCCGACCCTGACGCTTGTATATTTGGAGTTTGCATGTTCTCCCTGTGGTTGCGTGGATCTCTGCTGCGGATCCTCCGGTTTTTCCCTTCACATTTAGAAACATCCATTTAGAGTATTTGGCTGCAATAAATTTTCACCAGGTCGTTTCAGAAAAAGAGCTACATAGCTCAGTGGGCCTTACCTGGCAAAATAAAAAATTGTTTAATACTGAGGGTGTATTAACCACCGTAACAGCACTGCGCTCACTCTGCTTTTCGGTTTCCACCTCTTGAGCCTCCTCTGTCTCCCGCTCTCCACCCGGCGGTGCGCAGGCTCGGAGTGGGTTGACCCCGAGGACCCCACGGTGATTGCGGAGGCCGAGCTCCTGGGTGCTGCGGCCGCTATCGAAGCTGCGGCCAAGAAACTGGAGCAGCTGAAGCCGAGGGCCAAGCCCAGGGTGCGTCCCATCAATGTCCCCCCCCGTCCCCCCCCCCCCCCCCCGTTGTGACCTGCCGAGTCCCGTCCACCCAGCGTCAGAGGTCGCAACCGGGTACCCGATACGCGTACCCTACCCGATACCCGGCTACCCGTACCCGACTGGGTACGGGTAACCCGACTGGGTACGGGTAGCCGTTTGCGACCCTGGTGCGGCCGGGTACGGGTAGGCCGTGAGTCACTGGTGAGTCACCGTTTGTCACTCATTTCCCAACGTCTTGTCTCTTCTCACAATTCAAGTTCCTAGAATCAACCCACCCGCGCCTGCAACATGGCTTCATCCCAGAGGTCGCAATCGGGTACCCGTACCCTACCCGATACCCGGCCGGGTACGGGTAGCCAGGTATCGGGTAGGGTACGGGTACGGCCGGGTACGGGTACCCGATTGCGACCCTGGTGCGGCCGGGTACGGGTAAGGAATCAAAACCCGTTTGTGACCTCTGCCCAGCGTTCCTGTCCCTCTCCCTGTTGGGTCTCGTCATGTCCCATGGGTTCGCTGGAGGTGGCTCCTGCAGCCCACGATCGGTGGTCCCGTCGCCCCTGTTCACATCCGGGCTCCAGACTTCCCGTTTATTTTGACTGACTACTCTTTGAAGTATCTTGAAAAAAATTTTGACATCAAGCTTTCATGACTGCAGGAATTCATATTCTTGGGTCTTTCGGTAAAGTCACGTAGATAGGTTCAAAGAAAATAACAAAAAGTAACAAATAATACAACGTTTCGATCTTGTGTTGCGATCGAAGACGACCGCTTGTGTTGCGATCGAAATGTCGTAGTTTTTGTTATTTTTTGCTATTTTCTTTGAACCTATCTAGGTGGCTTTACTAAAAGCCCCAAGAATATGTCTTTATACATTCACTCGTTCCGTTATGTTATCTCAATTCCCTCCTGTACAATTCTATCCTAAGTATTTTTGTTTATTTGTATAGGCTTGAGGTGCGGTCACATTTATACTCTTTATGAATCCAAATTATATTGTGTTTGTGTCATCTTCGCTGTGTTTGCAAGAGGCATGGCGTGAATAATTTGGTTGTTTCGTTATTAATTTGGTTGTTTGAATTGTGTTGCTTTTTCTCCCCAACGGATATTCAAAATGTGTGCTATCTGCATCACGGTGACCCAAGATGAAGATGTTTTCATTCAGAACTCTCGCTGTGAGCAATGAGACCTCGCATTGTGTCAGCGAACAACCCTTTTACTTGCCCTGAAAAGAGTGGTGGTTGTCGCAATGTTTTTGGGCAAACTGAAATGTGAAATTCTCCGAGTGACAAACGAAGTTTAACATGATGGGTTTTCTGTAGTCATTGGTGACCATATTGAGACCATCGATTCGCTACACTTATCCCAGTTTAATCACAGGTGCCTGGCACTCGTGATTAAACCCATGCTCCCAATGGTGCTGGCTCTGATCCTACACTGTATGAAATTAATTATTTGGTGATGCTGCATTGGCAGTGGTGCACAAGTACACACACAAAAAACATTAATAAATAATAATAATACTGCCTTAAAAGGAAAATTAGAAAATAGTTGCTATTTAGGGCAGTGACCCTTATTTATAACACAAATAGAGAGGCCAGAATGGGCAAGAGTTGTAAAGTTGGAGACTACACTGTGTACCGCTGCCTAAGATACCCAGCCACCTTGTACTGAACAGCAATGGGCGAGGATTGTGTGAAACGAAGATATCTCTCTTGCAAGCCACTGTCTGATATGTTTGGTATAAGGTTGTTTCAGTAACAATCAACTGTATATCAAACATATGGTCACAGTAGCTTGCTCATGCTTCAAGGTAGCCGGCGTTGTCGCGATGACGGTTTTAACCCGTTTTGTTTTCATGATTCGCAAGTTTCCCGGTCTTGCTTGCGCACGCCCCTGCGATGCATCACAGTGGAGGCTGGGAGGGGGGAGGTGGTTGGTGAATCGTGCGGATTCGTAAAACTCCTGTACGTGCTGGTTTGTGAGATGGCAGTACAGCAAGTGGGTTCATGTGTTGGCCCGTCTGTGTGGATCTTCGAATGTGATCCCTTCTTTGTGTGCATGGTGGGTTTTCTCGGGTACTCGGGGTTTTTCCTCTGGCACACAAAGCGCTCCTTAAACTGGAGTTGGCCAATCGCTGCACACTGCAGGAGTCTCCGGTTCAAGCGAACGCCTTCTTGGCGTTCTCTGGTCTGACACTGGTGAGACTAGAAAGCTGTCTCTGGTGTAGACCAATCAGTTTCAAGGACAATGCATTTATAATTATCAGAGCATGAGAATAAGGTTTTCCCCTTTTTCTGGCAACAAAACAGGTGTTAAGATGTTAAAGCACCAAACTGAAACCTTTTACAAGGAATCATGTCTGCATTAACCACAACGCTTGTGGTCAGAATGGTCAGGTCTAACACCGTTTGAGACTAGGCTCAAAAGAAAGCTGTCTCTGGTGTGGACCAATCAGTTTCAAGGACAATGCATATTTTATCGGTGTTTTTTGTTTGCCTTCTGACCACAAGCATTGTGGCTAATGCAGACACGATTCCTTGTGAAAGGTTTCAGTTTGGTGTTTTAACATCTTCACACGTGTTTTGTTGCCAGAAAAAAGGGGAAAACCTATTCTCATATGTTGGTACTGGCAAAGGAGGTCCCATGATTATCAGAGCATGTTTTTGTTTGCATGTTCACCACAAGTACGTGTGGTTAATGCAGACATGATTCCTTGCAAACGGTTTCTATTCAGTGTTTGAACATCTTAACACGTGTTTTATTGGCAGAAAGGGTAAAACCTTTTCTTATTTTTTCATACAGTCTTCAGGTTCTTTGATGCTTTCTTGGATATATCAATTTCGTGAATATTACTTGGCATATCAACGGTATTTGCAAATGAATTGTGACAATGAATCAATGCTCATCGCTGAATGTAACTCGTAATATTTTGTAACCCAAAGCGCGCCTACCCTTTGATGCTGACATTACTTTAGTGGAGCACCCGCAACGGACGATTGATTCCAGTTTCTTTTAATGCCACAGACATCTGTCTCCACCCTCTCTTCCCCACCGCTGTCCCACATCCCTTTCTTATCCCCCATCTTACTTCTTACTTGCCCATCCAATCCCATGAACCCTAAACCATCACCTCCCAATCTTCTCTTTCCTAATCCGCATCCCTTTCTCTCCTATCCCGTCCCCCCCCTGCTTCTCCCAACCTCTCCGATCGCCCCCATCCCCATAGCAAGCTGACGAGAGCCTCAACTTTGAGGAGCAGATCCTGGAGGCGGCCAAGGCCATCGCAGCAGCCACGAGCGCCCTTGTCAAGTCCGCGTCGGCCGCGCAGCGGGAGCTGGTGGCGCAGGGAAAGGTACGGTCGGGTGATGGATCACCTGCCACCCACTTTGCGACTGCAATGAAGCCGCCCAAAGTCGGAATAGTTTCATCATTGCCAGCGCTGCTGCTGCTATGGTTCTTGAAGAAGGTGTCTGGTTGTGCCGTGTCGGTTTGCAGGTCGGAGCGAGTCCTGCCAACGCGGTTGACGATGGGCAATGGTCCCAGGGACTTATATCAGCGGTGAGATTTTTAATTGCGCGAGCAAGGAATCGAAAGTCTTCTTACCTATTTTTTGTTTATACACATGCCTCATCCTCGCCCAACATAAACCAAACCTCCTCGTGCTGCTCAATCTCCTCCCCCACTCCACACCCCTCCTCTCTAACCCCCCCCCACCTCCGCGCACGGGACCCCCGTGGCCGCCCATCCATCCCCTGCTGTCCCAGGCCCGCATGGTGGCAGCCGCCACGAGCAACCTGTGCGAGGCGGCCAACGCGGCGGTGCAGGGCCACGCCAGCGAGGAGAAGCTCATCTCGTCCGCCAAGCAGGTGGCAGCCTCTACTGCCCAGCTGCTCGTGGCCTGCAAAGTGAAGGCTGCCCCCGACTCGGAGGCCATGCGACGGCTGCAGGTACCGGCGACGCCCCCTGCCGTACCGAGCATTTCCCCCATCGCCGCCTGCGCACACCGCGCTCCTCTCCGCTTTGTACCGCGGGGCGGTTGTGTTTGTCGGCGGTGCCCCGATGGCGAGATGTTATAACTACCCCTCACGTGGGGTATGCAGGAGGTGTTGTGGTTTCGATCCCAACCCTGATGCCTGCTCTATATTTTTATCTCTTCTTGGTTCTTTCGGTAAAGTCACGTAGAAGGGAAATAATAAAATAATAAAAATAAAACATAAATTACAATTCTCACGACGTTTCGGCCACGACGTTTCGGCCACAACGCAAGCAGCCGTCCTCAGGTGAAGAACAGGGCTGTCAGAAAGACAGCGTCTGAAATCAGCCCTGTTCTTCACCTGAGGACGGCTGCTTGCGTTGTGGCCGAAACGTCGTGAGAATTGTATTTTATTATGTTTTATTATTATTTGATTATTTCCCTTCTACGTGACTTTACCGAAAGAACCAAGAAGATGAATCCCTGCAGTCACGAAAGCTTTAAATCGAAATCTATATTTGTAGTTTACACGTCTCTACCCGTGCTTGCATGGATTTTTCTCCCAGTCCTCTGGTTTTTCACTTCACATTTAGAAATGTGCGTTTCAAGTATTTGGTTGCTATAAATTTCCACGTGATAAGTCCCTGAGTTGAGCTATCATTTGTGGCCATGTCTCTTCTGAACAAGAGCTATCTATATCGCTCAGTGGGCCTTACCTGGTAAAATAAAAATAGTTAAGTGGTGTACGACACATCTCGGTGGATTCATGGTCAGATGTCAGGTGCTTCACAAATCCCGAGTTGTTTTGCGATTTGGACCATGTGGATATTATCTGGTGTAGCGATGTTGTTCTTCTCTCGTGTGTGTGTGTGCGTTCGCTTCAAGCTCTGCCATTTTCTCTCCCACTGCCTCCACACATACCCAACAAGGAACTAGTCACACAACTAGGATCCTGAAAAAGGTTCTGGGACTTTGTAAGGCTGTTTTGAACAAAGATTTATCATTCAGCGCATAAGAATTTATCGTCTCCTGCTAGAGCTTTTAATCAGTTTGTTACCTGATGACCGCGTGCGGCTTTATTCCCCGCATACATTTTAACCGATATCGAGCCCAGGTTCCACGGCGTCGCATTACACCGTGCGGGCTGCAGACAATTGCACTTTTTAGGTTTCCGAAGCGAGGAGAGATGTCACGAGATTCAGGTGAACATTCCAGGGTGTCGCATTACAAAGAGAGGCGCTGTGGGAACCACGCTCCCGGTTAAGCGTCATCTTCGTTTGTTACATTACACAACGCTTTACCTCTTTAATATCCCGGTTAGTGTACTGCCCTATGAACCTGGTACCCCGAGTTTGATTCCCGTCCACGGCTAGCATTAGTGGCGAGTGATATCCGAGCCTGTTCCGCGACCTCTGTCGCCACGCCTTCTCCAACCAGCACTGACCGGCACGGTGAAAGTATGGTCAGTTAATCCTCGCGACCCACACCGCATGGGGGACGCCCTCATTCAGCAGTGTGGTGTGGATTGACAGAAGCGGCTGTACGTGTGTACGCGTATTGCTGCTCATCACATGAAATCCTCACGATTGATTTGACAGCACAGAACATTTCAGACAGCAAGTTACAAGTGTGTGTGTGTGCGCGCGCGCGTGTATCGTGTCTGGCAGGGTGCGGGAAACGCGGTGAAGAGGGCATCGGAGAACCTCGTGAAGGCGGCACAAAAAGCCGCTGCGTTCGACCAGGAGGAGGAGAACGTCGTCGTCAAGGAGAAGTTCGTGGGCGGCATCGCGCAGGTGCGTGCCTCCGCTCGTGGGAAGGAGAGAGTGAGCAAAGGTGGAACGGCAATGATTTGCGTTGTGCGATCAGCGGCGCGCACCCTCTCCGTTAACGCCGGTTTCTCCTCGTCCGCCCGCCCACTCGCCCAGATCATAGCGGCGCAGGAGGAGATGCTGCGGAAGGAGCGCGAGCTGGATGAGGCGCGGCGCAAGCTGGCGCAGATCCGGCAGCAGCAGTACAAGTTCCTGCCCACGGAGCTGCGGGAGGACCCGCAGTAGCGCTCGGAGTGACGGAAACCGCCGGGGTTCCACCACAAACCGCCCGCTCGCCCACTTGCAATTGCAGGAAGACCATGAGAATTGTTAACAATAAAACACGTATATAATATATATCGATACTCGGCACTGCCTCCGCCAAATAACCGTCCGTTGGCCCACAGGGCCTGCCCAGCCGCCCCATTGCTGCCTTCTATGTTGTTACCACCCTGTTGTCCTCGTGACCAATTAGCCGAGGTTGGCCCCTGTGTTTAGTGCAGCCTGCATTCCGGTAGCCTCCTAGATAATGTTTCTTGAATACAATCACGTAGTCTTATGGGGATTTTCATTCCTTGTTGTTCAAATGCCTCGTGTCATTTCTTGATTCTTGACGGAGCGGTTCGGCACCAAGGCCCCCAGCTTTGTTCCACCACTCGTACCGCACGTTGCCCCGGTCATGGTACATTCTGCCCCGGTGTGGCCGATATGCCGAGGGATGACCCTGGGCCTCTAGCCCTGTCCTCAACCACCAACCCCACCCTGCCATGAGTTTTAAGTGCACGTAATAAAATATAATTTTGAACAATAATCATTCATTGCACATATTAATCTTCAATAAAACAAAAATAATGTACAGGTTTATTATTCTTGATTGTTTTTAATACTTTGTATCCTTTAAAAAAAAAGTTGACAGTTACCAAAAACATGGATTATGATGTTATTTTTCGCTTCATTTTCTTTTTATACAATCCTGACAATTACAAAGTGTGTGTGTGGGTCACTAGGTAATTGTTTTCTAATCTTTAGCTTTAGTTCGCAATCGGCGCGCGGCTTGTTTGACGTGGTTTATCAGGGAAGCATGTTCGTTCGCACGGACAGTGCTTTGGGATGTGACATATCAGTGTATGTGAGGGTGCGGGTGTTGCATTTCAATAGAATAGAGCGTTAATGGTGGGAGGTGGTCCATTAGCCAAAGCCAGAATGTGGCTTTTTGAAAAAAAATATATGAACGATCTCACATTAATATATTTTTCGGGGGTTTAAAGACTGGTAACAGCTAACATTTTGTTTGTTTCACGGTAATTGTACTCGCAAGGAAAGATAATCGCAACTTTAAAAGACGAAACCTCTTTAATGTGAATCAGTTCGACGTCAGCCCAGCGGTACTTTCAGTTGATCCTGCTGGTGAGAGGTGCCCATAGCGCGATGGGGACGCCCCGTCATGGACTCGACGGCCTTGGGTGAGCTGCTTCCGCAGCCGCGGCTGTTTTGGTTTCACAACGTGGGGGCCGTCTTCAGTACCGAGTGCGGTCACGTGTTATATTGATGTTAAGGAACAAGCATGATTGTCTTGGCTGAGATGTTAAGTCGTCGCGAGTTCGTTGCTACTTGAGATTTCGTTTTTGCCGTTGTCGCCATTACTGTCCAATCCCAGCAGCGCACGGTGATTTAACTGGGAGGTTTGCAGGCCCCTCCCGTGAGCTCATCCTCGTTCGGAAGAGGTGTAGCAGCTTTTGGCTCTTGAATAAGGTGGCTTAGGGGATTGCGCTTAAACGAAACAACAGAAACCTAAACGTCTGTCCCCCTTCCTCGCTATTTGCAACGCGGCTTTAAACCTTCCTTGCGTTTACCGGTCTACTTCTCCGCAAGTGCGTCAGAAGATGCACGTGGCGTGTTGATTGGTGGACAGAGGTTGAAGCGTGCAGGACGTGGCTGGGTCAAGTGAGATGTGGCTGGGTGTAGTGGGGTGTAGCTAGGGGGGAGACGCATGGCGTCTGGCCGTTAATGGGCCCTGGGTTTTGCCACAAAGGCCAAATCCGCTGGAGTTTACCAAGGTCCATATGAGGAGACATTTGACTGCGGCTGGACCCGCCATGCATACGCACAGACACCCTTTGTACGAATACGTAAACCTTTTTTTGGAAATTCACTGCTGGATGATGGGTCCTCCACATGCCATGCGAGTTGTGTGGATTATTTGACCATAACCTCACCACGATGGTTAGTGTGGGGTTGACGGTCGGGAGCATAGATGTACAGTGCAACTATGCATCGTGTGGCACTGCTCTGTTGCACACCACGTCGCCCGCAGCCTCTAACAAACCCATCGCTGCTGAGTGGTCACCCGTCCAAGCACTGTTTAAGGCTCTACCTAGAGCATGAGATGCACGTTAAGTAAGTGGACAAGTTGTATGATGAGTAGATATGTGTCTGTGTGTGTGTAAAATAGCCATGGTCTCAGTTTGCAAGAGGTCACCCCATATGCACGGGGGCCAGATGAGACGGAGTGGAATTCTCTTGAGATGCCACTGATGGAATAATTAGTTATCCCAAGTTGGAAATTTCCAATCTAATGAAGAGCCGAGTCGAGGGTAACTTTTAAAACAAGGCCATTATTTTAGATAACGTCAATCGATTTCAAAGCTGCCATTGTAGGTGGAATCCAGTAAGAATTTGACCGCTCAAGACATCGTTTCAGTTTTGTTGATGGTCTGCATGATTTCATCAAATCCATCACGGCCTCCTGTTGTTGCAGGTATTTGGAATGGGTTTGGGCTTAGGCTGTTTTTGCTTTGCTGTGCGATGCTCTGTTGCTGGATTTTGTTTTAGGAGCGATATCGCTCCGCCTCCCGTCTAGGAACAAACGACTTAGCGCGGTTTCCTCGCATTGTTAGCGGCGCGCTCAATATGGAACAAAAGTGCCTTGTGTTAAGCATATCAGCACTTGTGTATCATCCGTGGGTAGTGTCGGTGACGGCTTTCATAAGACGCACACCGCGGCTTCTTGGCTTTTAAACGACATGGTTTTTGTGTATCATTCAGAGAAAACGTATCTCGATGTGCTTGCTAAGGGAAGTCGGTCAAATGTGTTTTCTGCTCCCTGTCCGTAATGCCCAATAAATTTAACCATTCGCCTAACTTAACATCACGGCTAAATTGCACAGTGTGCCGCAGTGCTCAAGCATGGTTTTTTTTCCTGCCATTTTTTTACAACAAAATCTTCTCTTTATAATAAAGCTATCCATTAATATAGCGTGCGTCTTGAATTATTGATTAAATGTTTCTGTATTAAAAAAAATGTTTGCTTGGTTTGGAAGACTCCCCCCCCCCCCCCCCGCACCTGATCCCGCTCCCACGAATATCCGGGGAGTTGATCAGGATCGAAGTTAATGCAGATGTCGCTTGAATCCAACTATAATCTGATCCGACACAGAGTCGATCCAGATATATCCAACTCCAAATGGGTCTTACAAAGATTGACGGAACTTTGCTTTAACCAAGCCCAAAGTTGGTCCAGATGTGCTTTTATGCAGCTCAAATTCATTCCGCATCACAGCTGACAAATTACGAAGTGTGAGACCAAGAGGGGAGGCAGGAGGAAGGCAATCCACTTGCAGTCAACACATTCGGAGGAAAAAGCACCCCCATGTCCATCAGTACTGCCGATTCGTGCTGGTGAAACGCTTCGCACGGGAGAACCTCCTAAACGCTGCTCTGCCACCCACTTGGCGTGCTGCTTTCTACACTAGTGTTTTTTTTTGTTCTTTTAATTTGAACCTATCTACGTGACTTTACCGAAAGACCCAAAAAATATTTCTACAGACAACTTCGGGTGTCGTCGTTTTTCACGTGATCCGTCCACCCCGTCTGCGAAGTGTCTCGTCTCCCGGGGCGTGCATCGTCGACTTCCACCACCGCACCCGTGAATCCTCGAGTCGGAGCGCTGCTTTCTATGACTCGCCCCCCCCCCCCCTTTTTAAATCCTTTATATTAAGTTCGCTTGCTTGCTTGCGTGCTTGCTTGCTTGCTTACGACCGTGCAAATCTTTCGGTCGTTTTTTTACCCACTTCCCGTGATCCAATCGAGCTGACATTTTGCACACAGACTCGTTGCGTGACAATAAATGTTCGTAAAAAATTTTTTGCAAAATTTTACACTTTTTAGGGAGAAAAATGATATGTAATTACCAATTGCTTAATGGTGGCAGGCAATCATCTGACCCATAGGTGGCAGCCATCTCAAGCCAGAGAACGAGAGGACTCTAGCCGCCACGCATATAAAGGATTTAGAGTGAAAAACTTTGTTTTTACAGGGTTAATTTTTTAAATCCTTTATATTAAGTTCGCGTGCTTGCTTGCTTGCGTGCTTGCTTGCTTGCTTAGGACCGTGCAAATCTTTCGGTCGTTTTTTAACCCACTCCCGTGATCCAATCGAGCTGACATTTTCCACACAGACTCGTTGTGCCAGATAATTATTGTTCGTGAAAAAAAATTCCCAAAATTTTACACTTTTTAGGCAAAATTTTTTTATTTTACATATATTCAAATAGAACGCATTCATGGCTTTGGTTGAACGTCAGAGTGTAAGAGCCCAGAGCGTAACCCCTTCACAGGCCGTGGTGGAGTAGCGCAGTTGGTAGCGCCCTCGCTTCCCATGCCGAAGGTCGCGGGATCGATCCCCGCGTCCTGCACAGGCGAATATATTTTTAAATCCTTTATATTAAGTTCGCTTGCTTGCTTAGGACCGTGCAAATCTTTCGCTCGTTTTTTAACCCACTTCCCGTGATCCAATCGAGCTGACATTTTGCAAACAGACTCGTTGTGCGTGACAATTTTCGTGAAAAAATTTCCCCAAAATGTTCGACTTTTTAGGAAAAAAAAATTTCATATTTAATTTAAAATACCAATGTGATACAAATGAAACTCTTACTCAAGAAAAACAGAAATGAATAATAAAATAAAACCGATGCCACGCATATAAAGGATTTATAGTGAAAATTGTTTTACGGGTTAATTTTATCGGCGCGCGTTTCAACTCGACCCAGCACCGCGCGCCTGTGCGGGGTTTGTTGGGAGGGGAGCGCAGTGGTTCGCGCGTTAGTGCGCTCCGAAACCCAGCGGCCCGAGTTCGATTCCCGATCACGGTTGCCACTTTGATGATGAGCTGGGCCTCTCCTCGGTCGACTTGGCCTGAAATAAGTACCCGGTACGGGGTATAAACATCAGCACCGGGAAGACGATGGTGGTGGGTGTTGGCCACCCATCCCCTCGTGGCTGTGCGGGCCTTTAAAGGTCCTCGCTAACGGACTTTTAGCATATACACAGTGGGGAGATCTTTGTGTATGCTTGTATACACATACATGGTACATTCCTGGGCGGAACAGTGGCGCTGTGGTTAGCGTATTGCGCTCTGCATATCGTATTTTCCGGATTATAAGACGCACTTTTTTTCCCTCCTGTATTTCGCCAGGGGATGCGACTTATCCCGCTGGTAGGTGTGTGTGTGTGATTTCAGACTTCTATACGTTTATTGACACAGGGAACACGTTTTGGATACGTCTCGTATCTGGTTACAAAGACGAGCGAACGTGAATTTGACCACACTACCCCCTCATGCGCCGTCCCATCCTTAATAGGTGCTCGCAAACGGCAGCTCTGTTTTGTTTACCAGTGCCTCTTACTTCAGAATCAGAATCCTTATTAACACGGAAGGAATCCGACAAGCTGTGAAGCTCTTTGTCACATGTCCAGTAATTGTCCACTTGCCATGGCGGGGAGAGGAACGCATCAGAGCACAAAGCGAAGTTCACAGCATCATGGCCATCGTATGAACCGTGAAGACATCGGGGACTTGGGGCAGGGCACGGCATGGCCGGAAGGTGATGATGATCGATGGTCGAGACTAGAGGCGGAGTGGCAGGCAATGGAGGGAAAGCACCCTAGGAATCTCAACCATCGCGGAGATGGAGCGACAATATAATCTCGTGTGCAGGTCCTGGTTATATCGTTACATCGCAAGAGGACCCTGAGAGATGGAGACGACTTGGCGTTGGCAAGTGGGGGGGGGGGGGGGGGGGGTTACTCCTTCATCCAGCAGTGGATTGATCACGGCCGATGATGACAAGAATGGGCAGCGCTCGCTTCAAGCGCGTAGAGTCACGGACCCAGGGACCTAGCGGTCGCGATCATCTCAAGCTGAGAACGTTCGACTCCAAACAAGGAGATGGAGCCACTGCGGGAGATGATGACGCCGATGAGGCTTTTTGGTGGGGGGGGGGGGGTGCGGCGAGCGCAGTGACTGCAACACGGGGCACTCGCCACGCGAATATGCCCCGATTTGGCGTTAAAGCGCCGTTCGGAACACAAATGGGAGAGAGAGAGAGGGAGAGAAAAAATTCGGAGACACGGAGAGAGGTTCGCCACGCAACTTGTGTCACTGCCCAGGGAATGCCCCCCCCCCCCTCTCCGCCCCCCCCCCCAGCCGGAGCCGGGGTACTTATCCCGGCTGCGGTCCCACCCCTACGTCCAGACACTCACTCTGGAGTAGCCGGTGAAAAGCACCAAGCTCCTTCTCCTCCTTCACCTACTCCTCCTCTTCTTCGTCTTCGTCTTCCTGCACCTTTTGCCTTCACGTCGTGCTCACCTCCCATCCACGTGCACCCTCGGCCCACGCCTTTAGTCAATCATTTCTCTCACCGCCCGGTTATCCATCCGCCGTTGGTTTTCACATCTCGCTATCTTCTGAAGTTCTGTAACTCGTCCTTCTCGGCTCTTCAGCAGCCTCCTCCACTCGCCACTATCTTTCACCCTCGTCATCCTTGACCCTCGATCTTCCTCCACCACCACCTCCATCACCACCTCCGCTTGACATCCCCTCCTCCTGTCGCCCACTTCGCCCCAATCTTCACTCTCACGCCGCACCTCGCCCCAAAAGCGCAGACGCGTCTCGTCACCTCGTTCGCCGCCACCGCCAAAGCCCTCGCAGCAGACATGGAGGCCATCAAGAAGAAGATGCAGATGCTGAAGATGGAGAAAGAGAACGCCATCGACCGCGCCGAGCAGGCGGAGGCGGACAGGAAGGTCGCCGAGGAGAAAGCCAAGCAGGTACGTGCGCGTGTGTATACGTGTACCTGTGCGCGTGTACATGTGCGCGTGTACATGTACGCGTGTACCTGCGCGTATGTGTGTACCTGTGTGTGTGTACCTGTGCGCGTGTACCTGTGCGTATACGTGTACCTGTGTGTACCTGTGTGTGCATACGTGTATCTGTGCGCGTGTACATGTGTGTGTGTGTGTGTACCTGTGCGCGTGTACCTGTGCGCGTGTACCTGTGCGCGTGTACCTGTGCGCGTGTACCTGTGCGCGTGTACCTGTGCGCGTGTACCTGTGCGCGTGTACCTGTGCGTGTGTACATGTGCGCGTGTACCTGTGCGCGTGTACCTGTGTGTGTGTACCTGTGTCCTGTGTGTGTGTACCTGTGTGTGTATACGTGTACCCGTGTGTGTGGTGGGGAGCGGTAGTGTAGCGGTCAACGTGCCGCGCTACCAACCCGGCGACCCGAGTTCGATTCCCGCTCACGGACAACATCAGTGACGATTATATAGACCTCCCGTAGGTCGACTCAGCCTTAAATGAGCACCTTGTGCGACGTGTAAACCATCGTCACTGGGGAGATACAAAGGTGGTCGGGCGTGGTCTTGGCCACCCATCCTCTTGTGCACCGTGCGGCTCTTTAAACATATTCGCCAACAGCACTTGTCCTAACAGTCTGTAAAGGGCTATACGGGGGATCTTTGTGTATGTGTATCTGTGTATACTCTTTGGTTCTTTCGATAAAGTCACGTCGGTATAAAATAAAATTAAAATAAATCACGACGTTTCGGTCGTCAAATCAAGAGTGTACCTGTGTGTTTGTTTTTTACCTGTATATTATATACCCGTCGGTACCCGCACGTGTCAACGTGTGCGTGTGCCTGTGTACCTGTGTGCGTGTGTACCTGTTTGCGTGTGTACGTGTACCTGTGTACGTGTGTACCTGTTTGTGTGTGAGCGGTAGCGTAGCGGTTAGCGCGCTACGAACCCGGCGACCCGAGTTCGATTCCTGCTCGCAGCCAACATCGGCGACGATTATATATCAACCAGTCCTGGGTTTCCTCTAAGTCGACTCAGCCTTAAATGAGTACCTGGCGCGGTGTATAAACATCGGCACTGGGGAGACAAAGGCGGCCGGGCGTGGTGCTGGCCTTAAT